AGGGGGACTTACCTGAAAACCTTAATGCCCTAAGCAAACATTCTGGGTCAAGGCACCTACACCTTGTGTAGACAACATACCGTCACAAACAGCTGGCCATCGTGCAAAGATAAGGCGGCATCGGCGAGACAGCTTCCTTATGGCTTTCAATGCCACACGTCATAATCAGTCATTAACCCGCAGATAACTCAGCACCAAACACACTTTGAACAGGCAATCCGATTAGGAGACGGCAGCAGACGCGCCACTGGTGTCGGTTGCGAGCCGTCCTGTAAAGTCTCGAGCCAAGCACAAGATGAGTCACGTGGACTCCAATCCGGAAGGCGAGACGGACCAACGGCACCCAGTTTGGTCGTCAGTGACTTCATTTCCCGCTGCCAAGTCAACTTCTGTCCACCTCGAGCCTTGCGCCATCCTACACCTGGGAGACTGAACAAGGCCCTCCTAGGTAAGCGGTGACCAGGCATGCATAGCACGTGCCCGATCCAACGCAACTTATTTAGTGCTATTTGTTGTTCTAGGGAGCTAGCATGATTATCACCACCTAGTACTCGCTTACGCACATCATCTTTGGGGATACGCTGGTGCCATCCGACACCAGCAATGCTTCGCAAACAACGATGATCAAAGACTTGAAGGCGCCTCAGATCTCCAGACCGAAGGGGCCAAGTCTCCCTACCATAGAGCAGAACGACCCTCACTGTGGCTTTGCATGCAGGGCCTTTCAGACGGAGGGAAACTCCCTTCTGTCGCCAAAGATGACGCAGGTTCAAGAAGGCAGCCCTTGCCTTTGCAATGCGTGAGCTCACGTCGGTTTCTATGCGTCCATCATTGCTGATGCAGCTGCCAAGATAATTGAAGTGATCAACCACCTCGAGTTCCTCGTTAGCAAGCGTCAAGGGATCATCAAGTGGCTGGTGGTCCTGCAGCAACACTTTGCACTTGGAATATGCGAAGTGCATACCAAATAATGGGACCACTCTGGACAGGCTATTCAGGGTTGGTGGTGCCGTCGCAACATGGTGGAAAAGCAAGACGATATCGTCCGCATAATCTAGGTCAACTAACCTTTCACCTGGCAGCGCTTCAACGCCTACGTCGTTGGATTCCGCAAGGGAACACTCCATGATAGAATCCACGCCGAAATTGAACAAAAATCGGGGAAATCGGACAACCCTGATGAAAGCCACTTGTAGTCGAAAAGCTATCCGATAGGACACCATAGACCCTGACGCGGCCTGTAGTGTTTGAGTATAGAGCACGAAGGATGTTCACATATTTCGTGGGAACACCTTTCCGCGCAAGTAATTCGAACAGAATCGATCGATCGACCGAGTCGAACGCACTCTTGAAATCGAGGAACACAGCTATTGTCGGTCTACGGTATGTGTGGCGCTGCTCTAGCACCTGCCGCAAAGTAAATATATGGTCTATACAGCCACGTCCTGGGCGAAAGCCGGCCTGCTGTTCCTTACTCCGAGATTCCCGTTCTGCAATGAGGCGACGAACGATAATCGAGCCCAGTAATTTTGTCACAACTGGCGTTAGGCTAATACCACTGTGGTTCGCACAGTCTGTGCGACTGCCCTTTTTGTATATTGCAATTATAATCGATTCGCTCCAATTGGCCGGCACACTCTTCGTTCCAGATACTTTCGAACAGGGAGTTCAGTGCCCTGCAGAGGACCTCACCTCCATCCTTAAATAGTGCAGGTGGGAGGGAATCCGGGCCAGCGGCACGAAACGACTGAGGGCTGTGATGGCGTTTCGAACATCGGCCTCCAACGGAGGCTCTAAACTAACCGTCCATGGCACGTCCTGCATCACCTGAGTAGGAAGATGTCCGGGAGCAGGAGGCCAGCTGAACTGCTCTTTCGTGTTCCGCCAGACGAGCCATACGGCGCTCCTTATTGTGTATCAGCGCACCCGCGCTGTCTCTGATTGTCTCGTTGACGCCTGGTTTTCTGGGATAGGTGGTGCGGATTAGCTGGAAGAGCTTGCGGTAATTGCCTACTGCTCCTGCCTCCTCCATTTCTTGAGTCCGACTGATCCACCAGGCTTCCTTGTCAGCACGTAAGCTCCGCTTTAGTTCACGCCTAATAGTCCGTCTAGTCACATTGTGTTCAGAACCAGCCGAGAGGTGTCTTCTAGATTCCAACAGGTTCACCGACCTCTCGGATATCCAGTGACTTGTGCGGTGACGACTGATAGTGCCACAGGCAGATGCTCCTGCGTCGTGCATGGCGGCCGATATCCTATTCCACTGATGTTCAGTGTCATTAGGACAAGACAGCGAGAGTTCGGTATGCAGTGCTTCTTGATAGGCTTGCCTGACCGAGGACTGGGACAATTTCTCAGTTGCTATTCGGAGAGGACGCTTTGTGTGCCTTCCGGTAAAGTTCATGGAGAAACGACAGCGTACCAAGGCATGATCAGAGTCGATCCAGGTACTCCAGTACGAGCGGCAATCCAGAATCGAACCGCGCCACCTGTAACTTATGGCTATGTGGTCAATTTGGGTCCATCGCTGGCCAGCTACAGGTGGACGCCAAGTGGCACTTCGGCGCCCACTGTGTCTAAAAGCAGTGCTACTAAGAAACAACTGGTGCTCCGCACACAGTTGCAGCAGACGCTCACCGTTGTCCGTCCGTTCGGTGTTAAGTCCATAATTACCACCCAGCTGAGCTTCTGAAGAGCTCAGACGCCCTACTTGTGCGTTCATATCCCCTGCAAGTACTATAACATCTGAACTAGTTACACTGCGTGGTAGGGCGTTCAGTTCTTGATAGAAAGTGTCCTTGACTGCATTAGAACTGCAGTCGGTGGGAGCATAAACGGAAATCACAAACAAACAGCGTTTTGTACTACTTCGTGAATCAACCCTGGTCAATGTCGTCAAACGGGCTGCACATAAACGGCTGTTCACCGGAATCCAAGCAACCAACGATGACTCAGCTTTGGAGCTGAGAATGATACCTACACAAGCTTGAACCGTGAATGCTGCATCAGCGTCTCCAGATGCGTGCAACCAATAACGAGAGGATAAGCCGGGTGCAGTCAATTCAATAACCCCGTTAGGGTCATTAATTCTAGTTTCGGACACACAGCACACATCAACACCCAGTGTGTCCAAGGTGCGTGCGAGTGCAGCCTGCTGACCTGTTTGTTTTAGAGTGCGGACGTTGAATGTCGCCATGGAAACGGGATATTGTGGCCTTATAAGAGACATTTGCCGATGGGTGCTTTGGGATGGTGGCTGCAGATGGTTCTACTCCAGTGGCACTTCGGTTGCTGTCAATTAAGCTGGGAATTATAGAAGGATGGTTAGTAATGGGGGCCGGGAGGGGAGCAAGAGAAAAAGGTGAAAAGAAAGAAGGGAGACGCTGGCAATAGCATGTTTTCGCTTATCCGCCCTGCTGTATGCAGCAGATAAGGCGACCCTTGATAATCTGCGCGACGGCCGATGCAGGATGAAGTTTATGTTTGAAGAAGATGTCATGGTTGTATGTGGGCTGAGATACTGCCAGGGCGCCCAGACCAAGGAAGGAGGACGATTAGGGTCCTCATTCAATGCATTTGGCTCAAAAGCCTGTCCGCAAGGCAGCAGGGTGACAGTGATTTAGTTTTACAGAAATGGACTCCATCCGTTTCAAACCCCCCAATCTGGAGGACCAGGAGACTGAGTTTGTCTGACCTCTCACCATTGACCAACCTGGTAGGAGTAGCTCTCAAGATGCTCTGAGGCATCACCCAGTATAGCTCAATGGGTCAATGAGGTACGCAAACCGTCGCACCACGTTAAGGTCCAGTCTCGTTGCGACGGCCGTACAACCACTGGAGATGGTGGATCGGTTCACTTACCTTGGTAGCTGTCACCTCTGGTGGTCACGTCACTGAGGAAGTTATTTCGCTACCAGCAAGTCCCATGTGGCCTTCCAGCGGCTTAACCATCTATGGAGACGGCGGGATATCAGCCTGTCAGTGAAAGGTAAGGTTTATAACGCTGCGATAAGTCCTGTGTTACTATATGGCTCAGAGAATTGGGCAGTTCGCAGTGATGACCTTACACGCTTAGCTGTGTTTGACCACTGTTTCTTGCGGAGTATTGTTCACGTCTGGTGGGAACACCGGATGTGCAATGCTGAAGTCCACCAATTGATTTGTTTGCTGATTCTTAATCGTTTAGATCGGTTAGGCCATGTCCTCCATATGCCCGTTGACCTGCTTCCTCGGCATGCGTTATACCCCATGACTGTACCAAGTTGGGTTAAGCTGCTAGGCGGCCAATCCATGAAATGGTATCGAGGCATGAAGAAATTGACTGAGTAACTTGGTCAGGCTGGTGCCGTCATTCTGGGTAGGGGCCTCGGGATAGTCCACACTTTGTCAAACATGGCGGTAACGCAGCCATCGGCGTTCTTGCATTCGGTTTCTAGCATCTGATTGTTAATTTTCATTTCATTCTGATTAGTTTAACGCACTTCTTGCTTCCATTTTCTTTACATTCTATTTGTCTTCAACCCCACTATCTTGCCGTTGTCAATAACTGTTATACTTGCGATGTAAATTGTGGCGACTGCATCCACTGCACTTTCGTACTCAGATTATAGTTGATTAACTGAACTGAACTCCTTATCATCATTTTGCACTTCTGTTGTGAGAAACACCTCGGCTGATGTGCCTCATTAGGTTCTACCCAGGAAAACAACGTTTATATAGTAATTTTCTACATTCACTTTCATCGCATTAAGCCGGGTCAGCACTCAATGTGGTTCACCATACTCCACAGAAATTCTGACGATGTGGAACGTAAGAGGTGGCTTGTGGTTTTAGGTAAACCTGTGTTGTCTTGGTACTTTTTGATTGTCAAGTCTATACTCGGCTTTCTTTCCGTAGCTCCTGCAAAGTGCTGATGCGTTATTACTTTTATTTGACCAATTTACGACGGAAGCAATTTTTAATATCTTCGCTACAATCACCTCACTTTTTAAGTACTTTTAGCCTCTATTCGACTACAATGGCAGGCGACCAAACTTGCTACACACTAATTGGGTTATCACCGGAAGCCAAGTCTTACTCCGAGCAGCAACTGAAAGAAGATCTTCAGCACAATAATGTGGACATTAAACGCGGTGCTCTCAAAGAAGTCATTCGTTTAATCGCGAATGGCGAAAAGTTTCCAAGTTTATTAATGACAATCATTCGGTTCGTTATGCCGTCACAAGATCATATGATCAAGAAGTTGCTTTTTCTTTTCTGGGAAGTCGTCCCCAAATACAGTGCTGATGGAAAGTTGCTACATGAGATGATTCTAGTTTGTGACGCGTATCGAAAGGATCTGCAGCACCCCAACGAGTTTATTCGTGGCTCTACTTTACGGTTCCTATGCAAATTGAAGGAGCCCGAGTTATTGGAACCTTTGATGCCCAGCATTCAGCAGTGTTTGGAGCATCGGCATGCTTACGTGAGACGCAACGCGGTATTAGCCATTTTCACCATCTACAAAAACTTTGAACAACTTATTCCCGATGCACCGGAGAAAATACTTCATTTTCTCGAGCAGGAACAAGATGCTTCTTGTAAGAGAAATGCTTTTATGATGCTCTTACATGTAAGTCAAGCGAGCGCCCTGGACTATCTTGTTGCTCGGCTTGACCAGGTGGATAATTTCGGGGACATTCTGCAGTTGATTATTGTCGAGCTCATATATAAGGTGATTCCCATTATCTTAATTACAACCTCCTAAGGTGTGTCACGCAAATCCCTCGGAGCGGTTACGTTTCATTCGATGTATATACAGTCTGCTTCAGTCCAATAGTCCCGCCGTGCGTTACGAAGCCGCTGGTACTCTCATCACACTGAGCACTGCACCATCTGCATTGAAAGCAGCTGCTAGCTGTTACATAAACTTGATATTAAAGGAGAGCGATAACAATGTGAAACTTATCGTTCTTTCTCGCCTTACCGACCTTCGCCAATACCACGAAAGTGTGCTCCAGAGCATGCTCATGGACATTGTACAAATTTTGGGTAACTAATCTTTTTCCTCCGTGGTTAACTGCTCTGAACTTTCAGGTGCATCGGACATGGAAATACGCCAAAAGACTTTGGACTTGGCCATGGATTTGGTCACATCACGTACGGCAGATGAGCTGCTCAAACTATGTCGCAAGGAATTACTGAAGGCTTGCAGTGGCGGTCGTGGTGGGAGAGCTGTATGTGAAGGAAGCACCGGGAAGTCAGGCACGAATACCACAGAGAGCTCAGATGAAGCGGCTTACAGATATGCCCTCGTTCACGCCATTTACGACATCTCCATCCGGTTTCCGGAGACCTTGGATACTATCATTCCAACCATTTGTGATGTAGGTTTTCGCCCCCTTATCTAGTTCGATTCTTTCACGTTTGTTCATTTTCTAGCATCGCTCCAGATTGCTCTCATAGTCTCTGCATCTCAATCAAACACATTTGTATTCTACCATATCGATCTTGAATACCTTGGTATTCAGTTGAGCTAGGTTTCTATGGCTTAGCATGATTTGCATACCGAGGTTCGGTGGATCCACGTCGACACATGGGGGGGTCGAGTGAGAAAGGAGCACTTTTGGACAATGTACTTTCGGGCGAACTATTCAGTCTCTATCTTCTTATATGTTGAATCCCTAAACGAAAAGTCTAACAGGTAGAATTCACACACGCACATGAACTGATAGCATTTTTAGTTTCTCGGTTGTACCACATGCGAATTGTGACCGGCCTTGTTGGGCCCCTTCGGGGAGAGACGGTGTGCCCGATTTTATTCTTTCAGACAACCTGCTTGTTCCCTTTCACTGTCATCGGCTGGCTGGTCATTCAGCGGCCTCAACACCTAGATGCAGCGAGCGTAAGAAATGTATTCCGAGGTGTGCAACTTGCAAACATGTGAAGAACATGTCTTGGCCAACGTATATGATTGAATTTTAACGGACCCTTCATTGTGGCACTTTAGCATTTGTTATTTATCACCATCATCATCAACTGTTGAACATCTTTATTGATCACCCGGTGTCCTCAAATTTTTCGAACGACATGGCGGTGGCCTCCGTGTTCACCTACAAACCGCCCCTAGGTTACCCACATAGACCCACGCACACAGTATTTAACTTTCTGAGTCCATTTGCATTCTTGTACACTTATCTAGCGTTGTTTCCCTTACGGCGCTGTCATCTTGATCGTCAATCTAAGCCTGAACATTAATTGCGACGATGTTGTCCGCACCGTTCGGTTCGGCTTAGCTCAGTCAAAGAACCGTGACTTAGGCACCGAAGCGTGGTAGAACTGCTTTCCACTACCCGCGGCTACATGATAACAACTGCGGACGATATTGAGGAAAATGAGGTAGACTGCAATTAGAACAAATAGGGGTTCGAGGTAAGTTTGATAGCATAATCAAAGGGACTTCGCCGATAGGCGTCTGATAGGTGTTGTGGGATGGTGTCTGCAGATGTTTCTACTTCAGTGGCATTTCGGTTGCTGTCAATTAAGCTGGGAATTATAGAAGGAAGTTAGTAATGCGGGCCGGGATGGGAGTAAGAGAAAAAGGTAAAAAAGAAAGAAGGGAGACGCCGGCAATAGCATGTTTTCGCTTATCCGCCCTGCTGTTTGCAGCAGATAAGGCGACCCTTGATAATCTGCGCGACAGCCGATGCAGGATAAAGTCTGTTGGAAGAAAATGTCATGGTTGTATGTGGGCTGAGATACTGCCAGGGCGCTCAGACTTAGACAAGAGAACGATTAGGGTTCTCATCCAATGCCTTTGGCTCAAAAGCCTGTTCGCAAGGCAGCGGGGAGGTGGCAATGATTTAGTTTTACAGAAATGGACTCCATCCCATTTCAAACCCCCAACCTGGAGGACCAGGAGACTGAGTTTGTCTGACCTCTCACCATTGACCAACCCAGTAGGAGTAGCTCTCATGGTACCCGGAGGCATCACTCAGTATAGCTCAATGGGTCAATGAGGTACGCAAACTGTCGCACCACATTAAGGCCCAGTCTCGTTGCGACGGGGGGAATGTCCTTACACGTTGATGCATCCCGATCAAGCAAATGGATGAGATTGCTTGTGCCTTAGGAGCATAAACGATTGCACCGCTTCACCTGACATCCAGCCAATCAGTTGTTGGTCTCATCTACCATTCTATTCACAGATTGTCTGACTTTGACCTCACATTACGCACAGAAATAGCGTGCTGTGTAACCTGTGCTTCTATCTATCTTCCATTTGGGTCTCGATTGATCGATTCCAACGTCCAAGGGGAGTCCTTGTCAATATCGAACTCCTTGTTTCTCATCATTTGCGTCTAGTTTCTTTTGGACGATTATCGCCAGGGACGGTAGAGCTTCTCCTGTCTCATCTCTCAGTCACAAATGTATCCTTCTTTGCTTTCTTTTACTTTGCTGGTGGCTGTACTGATTCCAGAGATTATAGTATTTGGCGATTTCGTAGTGCAACTTACGTAATCGAACTAGTCAGCCGCTTCGTGGCTCTTGTGTACGATCGTCGTGAGCGCAGGTGTCCCGTCACTCCGATCGTACTGCATCTGTCCCTTCCACTTCGAACCATCAAAACGTATCGTTCCCCTAAGGTCTGGGTGTGGCTAAAGAAGAAGTATTTCTCGCGTGTGTTTGTGTCTACGCATCTATTACCGAACGCGGAGCCTTATCGTTGAATCCCTCGGATATTGGCGGTGGTTGGTTTAAGGACTTTCTCTTGAACGCCTGCGTAACTTACAGAATCGCAGTGTGCTGATATAAGAATAGAATAAATTTTTTAAGTCGGGCTCTCCAAATCTAGGTACTGCTACATCTAGTCGCGATCCCATAATCAGACAAAAGGACTTTTTTATCGCATGTATGTGTAGCGCTGTTTGAACATCGAGTGTGTTCTGTAAGCTTGGTCCGCGTGTCTTCTACTATGTCGGAAAATACTCCTGTGTCTACTAAATCGAATCTCATGCGAAACAAGGGTCTATCGGAGAGTGGCCGAGATCGACCCTGTTGGTTGTTTTGAAGATTCAATTTGGCATACCTTCAGTTCCCTCCTCTGCGTTAGAGGCCCTTTCGTTTTTTCGACGTTTACGTTTCCTCCCACCTCATCTGCTTTTACCATTGTCCATGTTTCATTCTGCATCCTCAATAGATCCTGACCTTCGAGGAACTAAGTGATTCCAGGGCAGCTCTGGAAGCTTGTCGTCTTATTCGAGAGGTGTGCTATCGCTATCCTCAGCGGAAATCAACAGTTATAGAAAAGCTAATGCAAGTGTTCCCCACTATCGCTGGGCAGGAAACACTGCGCAACGTCATGTGGATATTTGGGGAATTTTGCACTACTTTTGAAGAAATCAACACATGCATTACATTGTTCCGTCAAGTAAGCGATGTTTTCTTTCACCACAGTAAAACCATTCCCCCTTCACTTGTTCTTTTGTTTGGGTTCGCCTTTTCATTATCTAGGTAGTTATACCAAAATCATCATCTTCACCATAATCTCGACTCTCAACGACGATGGATCAGCATTCTGTATTTGCAAATTACTTTCATATAGCCATAAATCTACGAAGCTCAGAAACCGGAAAACGAGCTTCAGTTCATTGGGCAGTCGCTGAAGGTGTAACTGCCCACGCCTTGTGAACATTATCTAGTCCCAGGAAGTTGGCTATCAAGAAGCCAATCTTCGCATTTTGGACTGACTTTTGCCACAGTTAACCTTCTCCTGCACATAGCCACGCAGAGTATGCATCTTGAACCGTCTGTTTCGCTAAGAAGCTATACCGGAAATGCTACTGGCACCGGTTTGTTTACCATGCTTTAGTATGTCTCTAGTCAATTACAAGATGGTTCGCTAGACGAATCAGCAGGATCTAATCTAGTGGTCGAAAATTTTATTTCTCGTTATCTGATCAATGCTTTGTCTTTCAGCACCCTGGCACGCCATTTTTGACAGCATCCATGTCCGGACTTGCTTGTCACTGCGGCATTCATAGAACAGCCACAGGACGCCTGCGGCTACAGAGGGACCATGGGTGACTTGTGCTGTACCATCCACAACTCCATCCACACACCCCATATCCAGTGTGAACCCGAAGGAATAAGACCGGGAGGCATGTGGATGAGAGCCACCTTTCATCAGCGGAGCCGACCTACACTCAGACATACACAACAGCAACGTTTCTATCTGTCTAATGGGGAAATCTTGCGTACCAAGCATACACAAGACGGTGACTGGGCCGTAGTCCGCTCCACACTACATAAATTGAAAATGTTTGAGAATACTTGTAACTCAGGGTGTGGATGAGTGGGTTGTCCTGTCATGTTATCATATATGGGCCCAGCACAGCCATGAGGACCGTGCACCCCGTTCACTGAGACTTTCGCCATCCGGCATCTAAAGCCTAACTTATGCAAGCAACTGGCACTTTTGGCCAGTCTTGCTCTGCTGTGCTAAGATGATTTTTCCTGTAGAGGCACTGCCCCTTTAGCCCATTACCGATTCTTGGTATTGATTCCTTTTCATCTCCGCTCTTTTACAGCTTTCACTATTAGTCTGTACGCGGCTGAATGCGAATACGCGAAATATACTGAATTCCGGAAATCCTGCCACCTGAGATGTTTTTTTCATTCTTGCACTTTTAAAATGGAGTCGATCAGGCTTAGTGTAATGCGGAATAAGCATAAGTGCAACTTACTCTAGCCCAACTGTGGTGAAGTTGTATAACAAATGCACACTAACCTCATCATGAAGCACATGCCATACCGACACCATTGCCAATAGCCGTGTTTGAACTAGACGTATTGCAGATTCTCCCGCACCGTTTCTCATCGTACATCCGGAAGAAGTGGTTCGACTTTCTTTATACAACGGTAACTAGTCATGCATCGCACGTAACCGGACCAGGGGAAAATCTACTGATTGTGATATATTAATCTACCGATTTAAGCTAGCCACTGTCTCATCTCATCGTCCCAATGAAGTTCGCCAACCCTGACTTGGTTCCCGTTGGCCCAACTGGTGCCGCCTTCAGAACTCCATTGCTATCTCAAATTTTATGGTTGCTTGATTAGCACTTGCGACATGACTTCACTTTGATGTTTTGCTTTAATCACTGAGTGTCAGGAATGACACTTTACGATCAGTGTCCGTTGAAACGTTGGTGCATTCTGAAGTCCTTGAGCCCGCGAGTGTTATCACTGGTTGTCCGATGTACGTATTGCATTGCGATTGTCTGTCAACCTATGACCTTCGCTGTTCATTTTAACGATAAATGCATGTCCTTTTGTGGCAGCCATCTGGTCGTCGCTTGCAGTAGTGCATTCTCTGTCCACATGCTCTCTCTGTTCACTTCACTTCTTTGTTTTACTCTACCTTTTCGTGAATCTCGGTCGCATTACGGATTGGACATCTGTGCCCTGTTCGCCATACTGATGAAGATGTGATTTGTGCAGTTGATGCCCGATTACCTTATCGACCCACTTTAAATTAGAAAAGCTTTTGAGACTCCTACCTAAGCTACATTCTGCCCCTTGGAATGCACACACGTTCACGTTATCCTACAGCGATGCGGCTCGTTACAGACCAATTTGTTAGCCATAATTCTTACACATAAGTGCAGTGGGTCCAGTTCTCCTGATTCACCTTACCGTTAACTAATAGTAAAATGACCTCAAGAGAAATGAACAAGAGCACTAATTACTGAAATTAGACAACGAGTAGACATATGTCTGTGTTGATCCATCGAGACAACTGGTCACATGCGCAAGGTTACGTCACGCATTTTCGACACCGTACATTTACACAACATCCTACACAGGTGCGTTGCGCCTTCGAATTCTATGACGTGCAAAGTGGGCGTCTAGGGCCCTTTTGAATTCCAGCACTGATTTTGCCTCACTTCATGTTAACTCTTTCCATATTCTATCACTCGACGCTCAAAGCATAGAAGGTGATGTATCAGCCTCGTACCTGGTATCACAAGCTTGTACCAGTGCCCGCGAGTACGCACACATGCAGCAGCGGCCGCAGCATCTAGAGGTCACTCAGATGTAATGTCCGGTGCATCCTTATGAGATCCACTCGAAACAGACAATACGATAGGGTGTATAGCCCCTTTCTCCTGCATCGATCTTCGTACGACCTCGCCTCGGGTGATCGGATAATAAGCAGGTGAGCCGTACTCGAACGTTGGCCTTATAATTGGCGAGAAGAGGCGAGTGGCAATCTCTTCAAACCAAATGCAAAAGCTGCGCTTAAGTGTCCAACGCATGCGTAGTCCGTTTCCATACAGCCTGTTCGTGTTGTCCACGGAATTAAATTCGCAGCTTGAGAGTATGCCTAGGTCCTTCAAGAAAGATGTGGGCTCTAGCAGTTGGTGGAGCGGAGTATACGTACGCCCATCACAAACTTTCCCCATGCTTCTAAACAACGACTTCACTGTGTTGACCGGCGTACCGACATCTGCAGACTCCATAGAGAGTCGACCGAGGTCTTGTTATAATGCATCCCAACTGTCTGCATCATCATTTACTCTACAACTCATCAGATCGTCCGCCTACTAGGCACACACCGACCGACGAAGCTGAGGTACTTTGTTTGTACTGATCAGAAACAGATGGGCTCCATTGCTGTGCGTCTTAAGGCACGTCACCGGGTGGCAGTGTATCATTCGGTTAGAAGATCATTTACATGTACCCTCCACTTTCATCTAATATGGAAGTAGATGATCCACTGGGGCATTAAGCCATCAACACCATATTGTCAAACGCTTTACTGAACGCGATGTTTATCACGTCAACTGATTTCCTCCTATCCAACGCTTGCAGCCATTCCTGTCCCGCCACCAGTAGGTTTGTGATGCATCAGTGACCTTTCCTTAAATCGTGCTGTGTGCTCCTCAGGCAGCAAACCCTTCCACACGATTCTCTCGAGTACCTTAATCAAAACGGAAGCCAGATCAATCGGCTGGTAATTGTCCGTTTTGCTTGAGTCGCCGTCTTTCGGAATCGGCATTACCACCGAACACTTCCCATCACTCAGTAATGTTAATTAGATCAGTTTCGCAAAGCGGCATGATAGCCGATGACGACTTGAGTATCAACGGGTGGATGCCGCCAGGGCCGGGAGACTGCACAATAATGGAACAGATGCAAAAGAGTTGTTAGCTTCGCAGATGTTCAACGTTCACTGATATAACTGATCCCAATAACTTTATCTAGGAAAACACTAATCACCTGTTTTCCAGTGGACTGCTTCATGTCCTTTCATCATTTTATTGGCTAGCGTCTGTGTTTCGCCCATCGAGCCGCAATATGGACGAACATTGCACACCGATGTTCCCCATTTGCGGACACGCAGAGCGCATAACCGAACCTCCGGAGGCGGTTCGCTACAACCTTGTGCGATTCTACGCAATCTACGAATCCAAACATTGGCATTTCTCCCCTTATCCACACGCGTAAGATTTATTCACTTTTCTGGTCTCCCACTTTTTAGGTCATTGGAGATTTACCGCTCGTTGACGAAGAGTTGCGCCGCCAGACACAGGAGACCACGGGTTCCGGTCCCGACGGCTCATCAGCCTTGCTGTCCTCGGATGTCAGCATTGGCCTGACTCCGGCTCAACGCGTCACCGCTGACGGCACGTATGCCACTCAAACAGCACTCACTTCTGGTGGTACGTTTGTGGATTGTATCGTCATTTTTACACGTCACTCATATGACGCACGAGTTCCATCCATTCTTACCCATTCTACTCTGGTATTTCAGCCTCTTTTCGGCTGAACCTTGTAATCCGCAAAGTAGGTGACTAGGATATTCGGGTTTTTGGAGCGCCCGCCTAGTGTCTTAGTTTGCGACACGCAATCCAAATTGTGGCTTCGGTTGATTTTGAAGTCAGCCTCTGCTAATGCGATCATTGGGATCGTCACCGAAGTGGAGGGTTTCAGTGTGGCTCTCTCCCATACATGCACTCCACGGCCGACGGTTTCGTCCTGGTTTGGACTCATCAGGTAGAGATAGCCAATATAGCCGAGCCGCCAAGCACTGTACACCGAGTTCCACTCCCAACTCGGCTATCTCTACCTGGGGAGTCAAGGTCAGGACGAAACCGTCGATCGTGGAGTGCAGGGATGGCAGACAGCCACACCGAAACCCTTCACCTAGGCATCTAGGAAGTGCTTGAATCTGGGCATTGATTTGCGTCTACTTTTGTCTCGTGAAAACTTAGAATATTTCACCACGACGCTCGAAACATAGAGGATGAGACATCGGCTTCAGGTCCGATGCTATGAGCGTGTACCGGTGTGTTGTGTCCCCAGGCGTTCGGCTTCTTAGCTTGCGCCCCACGAGTCAAAAAGACAACGCACAGGACAGGAGGTATATTTGCGGAACACTATGCGGGCCGGCGTGGGTATGAAAACACTCTACATTCAGTTCCAATCACGGCTGAGGGCTAATTTGAATTTATCGATTTCAAAGAAGCACGGGACGTGTGAGGGGTATGTAACAAGCAGTAGTAACAAATGTTCTGCAACACAGAAAAAACTCTAGTCGACAGTTATGAACGGTTACACAAGTATACCTGTGTTTTTCTTTCACCTCCAACACGGTGGCCGCAAGTGTTGCTTGGTGCACGCACACAGCAGCGGCCTCAGCATAGGGAAGTCACCCAGATGTAATATCCGGTGCGCCATTTTGATGTGTGTCAGATTTTCGCAAACTGTGCTACACCTTACTATTACCATTGGACATCTCGTGGAGTCGCAGATATTGTGCTCATGATACCCGACTTCTCTACTCACCAGCTTCATTGTTAATGGGTGAAATGGCAGCCCTCTAATCATAGTCAACCCTAGTGTCTAAAGCAGCTTCAATACATCAGTACCTTGTTTTGATATTTTTCCGCCATACCTCTGACGCATAGTCAAACAACTAATGAAAAGTACATCCGCGAAGAGCCGATCTGCTATCATACCCAGCCACATTAGGTAAACGTTCATAACCTAGATACGTGTATGCTTTACAGCCGCTGTCGCGTGACTCGGGTGGCAGCTTTCTTTCGCTGCCCTTCCTCATAATTTACCTTGATCTACGGATGACTCAGCACTATCCACATTGGACAGGTAATTCAATGTCAGCTGTCACCCATGCTCTGTAATGTGCAGAGCCATTTGGTGAGCGCATCGCCTGAACTCCAGTCTAGAAGTCAAGGTAAACGAGCAGCATCTAGGTTAATTGCCGGTGTTCCCATTTACCGATACCGAGGTAACCTCACCCCTTCGAGCCTAACATCATGGCCAGCGAGCCGGAGGAGGAGCAGACGTACGTAGTACTTGACGTGTAAGCGAATCAATCAATCTGCTCGTTGCTTGTGGTTCACCCGTCGAACAGATCGTTGCGGATAGCTTAGTGCCGTCCAACACGTGTGATGCTCCGCTGCCGACTATGGTCCAAGATCAGTAGGCAGATGAAATCTTCACATCGAACTAGCCGAACATTATCACCTTAGAGAACACCACCACCATTGTAAGTATGCCAGTACTCGTCCGCGCATCTATTGACCGTTTGACTAAACCCACTTTTGATGAACCTACTTGAGATTCTCTACACACATCGCTGAGGTTCCAACGATCCTCTTCCTCACTAGTATGGAACATGAGCCCAACATTTCTTCAAAGTTACTTTTCACCGGAACATGAAGACTGAGAAATCTCGCGACCACCCTGGGGTAAGAACAGTCAATAATTGATTGGCAGAGAGCCAATGCAAAGTACCGAGATGGTATTAAACTAATACGGACGGCGCGTTCCCCACTTGATGCGGTATACTTTTAAGCATTCACCGTAAGCACCAGTGCTTTGGATTTCTTTACGAATATATCTTAGCCGTTTCATTGGTCATTGATACCATTTGAGATCACTTACCGTTTTAGTCCGGTTCAACTTCGAACAACCTTGCAAAATGCAAGTCAATTCTTGTTTTTGTATGATACGCGATGCGATAGTTTGGAGAAGTTCCTGTGTCTACTTCGGAACCTGCGCACCGCCCGGGTTTGAAGCTCTGCTCCTGCATCGTTTTCGGCTACTCTACATTATCCAAGCTAGCGTTCTCAACCTACTACTACGTTTAAGTTAACAGCAAAGCGCTGATGCGATTTATCGACGACATGTTGTCTATACCTTACCTTATTCAAATGCGGAAACTTATGCTTGTTCTCCGGCTCTCAGATTCATGAATAGTGCTTTGTCCTTTTCGCACACAGCACTACAGCTTTCTATTCTTAGTTTGTCATATGTGGACATCTGGTTTAATGTTACCGATTCTCGACAATTTGATTACTGGTACCGGTTTCCACAGCAACAACTGTGCTGTGCTTTTTGCTATAAGCCAGCGTTTGCATCATCTACGGGTCCTGTGCGACGGAGACCTCCTCGTCCACCTTTGTTTCACTACGTTTCCTAAAAACCTTTGATTCCCTGAGCTGCTATCGAAGTGCATCATGAATCAAAAGTCTTATGCACCTGATCGAACGGACCACTTCTTGGTTCCCTTCGTGATGCACTTATCCGCTTGTAGTGGATCCACACGGAACTTTCCCGTTTTTCGAGCCCTCTTCCATGCGTTACACAAAACGAACTGCCGCTTCGACCGCTAGTGCAAACTGCCTGTTAGGTATCTCATTTCGATCGTCCGTTTTCCCGTGTTAGTGTTTCTGGGCCCGTGGATGAACACCGTTCAGTCCACTCCCACTCTGGCTTAACTTTCGAGCAAATCCTTTTAGATCTTCACTGACGTCGGTTCAGATTGACTTTTCATTGGTACAGTCTGTTCGTTGCATTGCTTTGGCAGATAACTTCCGTTTGAATTCCGTTTGCCTAACGTCATTGTTCGAGCCACTTGCTTCACGGTTCCCCTTCCCTCTTACTATTGTCCGTGTCAGTGCTTTTCCCTCGCGGTTTTTTCTACAGCCTCCAATAAAACCGCCGGAAGCACAAAGGTTGTCAAGCGCCCAGTCCTTCAAGCCGCTCTGTTTGAAGCTGCTTACATGCCAGCAGTTGTTCTATCTGCTTGCTTAGTCAAACTGCATTATCGATACGCACTGGCTTTGGCAGATCGTGCCAAGTCCGCGGAGAACGCCGATGAGGCCTCAGCGAAGAAGACGGAGGCGCGTGAGAACTCTTTCGCCGCCGAATGTATGCTCATCATAGCCAGCATGCTTCACTTGGCCTCCAGTGGCCTGCTACCGCATCAAGTGAACGCCGATCATTTGGATCGCATGTGGATTTGTTTGAAGGTAAGCGCGCCTCCTATTGGATGAATTCTTTATCATCTAATCATCTACCATCGATTTGCCGACTGAAACCGCTGAATTGTTCCGGGTTTGATTTTTCTCTCATCTTCGTCGCCATGAGGATTGAGAATTTAAAAATAGGAAGTTGCGCTGCAGAGAATACTAATCAGAAAAAGCTGTTAATCGAAATTCTTAGACGAAACGTAGAATATAAAGGCTAACAGCTATATATATATATATATATATATATATATATATATATATATATATATATATATATATATATATATATCAACAGTCTGTGAATAGACATAGAGCCATCAGAAACCATAGGACTCCAAAGAAGGTGCAGAAATAGTAAGAGAAAACATACAACACATCGAAATCCATGGTTTCTTCCGAGGGCGAGGTACTACCCGGTTGCCCAAGCCGAAGTAGGGTGTTGACTTAGGGAACACCACCCCGAGCCTTTGGCTGAATAGCCTGCCCGCAAGACAGCGGAGCGAAATCAGGGAACCGCTCCCATTGGGAGCCGGTGACTGATTACTCAGTGCGTACGCCTTTTGTTTGTTCCTTTGTCAAACAGGGTCCAATGCTCCCCACAAATGCAGCATTAAGTTGCTGGAATACACTGCTTCGCCAGGACGAAGCAAGCAGCAGTGACTTTATTTAGTTGCGAGTCATGCCCGCTACTTCACAGTGTTGTTAAACGGACATATGTGGCTTTTTAAAGGGAGAACACATGCCAGGCGAAAACCCACCACGTCCTGGAACACTGCCGCCTAACCATTTGCTGGATCGGGAAAATCCCGAACCACCCAGCTGGCATTACGTGAAGGTTGTTCGGCAAGCCAGCCACAGCTCTACACGCAAAGGACCGAATACAGTAGGGCCTCTGTTCACCATTCTGTTTCCGATCCAAGTAACTCATCCACGAAAGTAGCAGACTTGATCGCAACACAACCAGTGGGTCAGTGTTCCTGTTTACTTTTTGTCCTACTACCGAATTCACGTAATAATGCGCAATGTTGGCAGACTTCTAGCATTAGGACATACTACGACTCAGCGCTGCACATTGAGGTGAGCTACCGAACGTGAGTTTCATCCGACAGCAGCGCCACTACAGTCAGGCATCACAGATCAAGGAGGACCGCTCTCTTGAACTTTTCAACCCTCGGTGTTCATATATCTGTGATCCACACCTCTCCGCAGTGCTTTGCTCTTTCTCCTTTACCAATAAGTTCTTATCCCGCTGTTTTCACAGTCTGTTTGGTCTTTGAAAAACTTCAGTAACATCTTCGGTGTTGTGGTCACGGGAGATGATACTACTATTTAGCTGCTCAAACTAGTTGTTTGGTTGTCCGGTAAAGATGAGAACAAATGTTGTGCCACCGTAGTGTCTCGTCGCATTCTTGAACTTTGCAATTGTGAATTACAAGTCGAAACGTACGCATGTGTGTTTCAGTCTGTTCAGCAATGCTTGCACAATGTCTCGATTCGATCAACGGAGAGCTGCGATGCTTGTACACCTCATGTTTATCAGTCGATTACCTAACAGGACTTAAACCCCAGATGGAGCAGCCGGGATAGAATCGTCTGCAGCTACATCACTGGAGAGCGAAGGAAACGTAGGACAATCGCAGTCTTGCTCCACTTTGCATATACTCGACGTGGTTCGCAGCACTTGTTTGCAACTTTAGCTATCGAGTGATCTGCGGCGGTCCTGCGACCGTCCGTGTGTCTGCAGATGAGTCGTTTGCGCTACATCGCCCACATCTTCATCCACATGCCCTGCACCTTATGTGAACCCGAATTCGTATGGTTCGGAGTTGGTGTTGATATTCTTGCTCCCGTCACGATGAACTAAGTGACGGTCTGCTACATTATTCCAAGCTCTGATACTCTTAATCTGAGCTCCACTTGCATGAGCCGATGCTCCTATCATATCCTTCACAGCTCGACAGCTACGTGGCTTAGAGGCCAAAGTATCAATCAATACGGCCTGTTTTCGCATCGCAGTTCTACTCTCTGCACCTGACAGCTACAAGCAACTGTGAAACGGATCATGGAGCGCAGTGTTACGAGTGGGTGTGACTTCACATTGACAACATTTCCTTTGTCCCCAACCACAAGCAAGTGCACCAAAACAGACATCGTTCTCATAGAATGAAGCCACTCATTTTTCTGCCCATTCGCGGGATTTTTACTGTTACTTTCGAAGCGGGAGTGCATGAGCATTTTCAGTAATTTTTATGCGATCCCAACTCTCTGTTGTCATTTGACCACCTAGTCCCGATCAAAAATGACGCAATTTGATTCAGCCAGGAGGCAGTGTTTTGTTTCATGCGCCACTGTAACAAACAGGCACTTGACCTTGAAGGTACCTCTTGGATTGCACATTTATCGTTTATGCCAATAATAATAAAATAATAATAATAATAATGTTCGATGTTTATTTCGGTCTCACGAATTTGTACACCTATGCCCCAATTCGACTGACCAGACCGTCGTTTTCTATCAGTTCGCATCACCGATATTGAAGTGTTCCGACGTCTTCGGTTCCCCAGGAAGTTTACTTCAACTGGGTCGGGTTTATCAGTTCTGTTGCGGACACCCAAATACAATGCGTTCAGTTGCTATTATATGCGTCATCGTCACAGGAGTGGATCAATGGCCGATCTCGAGGCAACTTGTAAACCAACCACCTTTGTTCTTCTTAACTGAGAGCTCAGTAAGATAAGTGAAAAACTGTTAAAATTGCCGATTGAATGGTCTATCACCCGCATAATGCAAACTAGTCATCGAACAAGTAATAGACCCATTCCTAGTGCTGTCCACACTAGACGTCGGAAGAGGTCGATAGTTATCGTCTCTTGTAGATCAGCCATGAGGACAGCAGTGCGGGTAAACGGTCTCCTCATTACTATTTTTGTGGATCACGAGTGCCGCTACTCACCTCTGGATGTGAGCGATCACATACTCATTGTTACCGCTTTGCCACCGCCAATCCTGAAGCAGCCACAGTTCGATAAATTGCACATCTGGCGTATTTCGCTTGCGGCTTATCGCACATCAAAAAGCCTATGTGTCCCTCTTTCAAATCTCACCGGAGTTGTCAGTGATCCACTCCCGATAATGTTTGATGACACTCGGCAACCACCTTCCGAGTTCAACCTTCTTACCATTGTTTTGTATGTTAGGCCCTCGACTCAATGGCATCGGTTACCAGGAAGTTGACGTCAGGTTCGATCTCGACCGAGGCAATGATTGTGTCCTCATGTTCTTGCTGGCTTGCATCAATTAGGCGTGACAGTGCATCCGCTTGGCCAATAGAAACTGTCGACTGGTATTGGATCTCAAAATCATACCCCATTAAGAGCCCAACGTTGTAGCCGGTTGGCTGTGTAGGCCGGAATGCCCTTTTTCGAACCAAAGATAGCCAGCAAGGGCTTGTGATCTGTCAGAAGCTTGAAGCGGCGGTCGTATAGCATTTTGTGGAATTTCTTGACTGCGTACACTATGGCCAATGCTTCTTTCTCAATCTGGCTGTAATTTTTCTCGGCCTTCGTAAGTGTTCTCGCGGCATGGGCGATTGCCTTCTGAGATCCATCGGCGTAGGTGTGTGAGATTACTGCACCAATCCCATGGCTTGATGCATCTGTGCCCAAGACAATCTCTTTGAAAGGGTCAAAATGAGTCAAAAGCAAGTTTGAGGACAGCAGTGACTTGACGCGTTCGAAGGCATTCTGGCATTCTGATGTCCAGTTCCATGTTTGGCCTTTGGCTAATAGCTTGTTTCACGGGGCACGCAGGCGGTGCATCTCTGGCAAGAATGCGCTGTAGTGGCTGATGAGCCCACAAAAGGGACGCAAGGACTGCAGAACTGTTGGAGGAGGTATCCTTCTAATGGCTTCTATATTTTCTGGATCTGGTCGACCTCCGTCCTTTTCGAGGATAAAACCGAGGTATTTGATGATCGGCGTGAAAAATATGCATTTATCCTCACGGATCCGGAAACCGTACGACTGTATACAACCAAGCGCTTCATCCAGGAGGTTGTATAGTTCTTCCGATGTTCGACCCAGATCATCCAGATATGCAGCGGTTCCAGAAACGCCCGCTAGCATGGTATCCATCAACTGTTGGAAGATGGCTGGCGCCGTTTTCACATCAAATGGCAAGCGGTTGTATTGGAATAGCTCACGATGAGTATTGATCGTCAACAACTCCCTCGAGTCATCGTCAACATCCACTTGCAGATAAGCATCGGATAGATCAAGCTTAGCAAAATACTTACTACCATTCAACTTTGCAAAGATATCCTCTGGTCCAATTAATGGGTACTGGTGGTCGTCCAGCGCGGCGTTGAGGCCAGTTGAAAAGTCAGCGCAGACGCGTACCTTGCCATTTGCTTTCTTCACTGCGACAATAGGTGCGGTCCATGATGAGTAGTTGACGGCTGTGATGACTCCGGCACGTTCCAGTCGATCGAGCTCTTGCTCAACCGTTGACATGGCTGCATATGGTACCGGTCTTTTTGCCTTGAACACTGGTTTAGCACCTGGTCGCAAGTTCAGTGTCGTCCTGCATTTCGTACAATGGCCTAAACCATCCTGAAAGACAAGCAAATTTTCGCTTCAGGATACATGTCATGTCTTCGACGGACTTTGCTGATGGGTCTGGACTTGCTCGAACTCGGTTGCAGATCTGATTCAAAGGAACATCGAGGAGATTCAACTTTTCAATCCAGTCGAGGCCAAGCAGATTCAAATTCGGCCGGTCTGAAATGTAACATGCTCCCGACTTTTCCACACCTTGGAAAGCAATCTTGCAATTGAGTTCGCCCCCTAAGTGTAACACACCGCCGGATACATTATGTGCAACTTTCTGAGACTCGACCATCTTCGGCCTCTTTATGTGATTCCATGTGCTCCTGGAAATAATCGTGATGTCCGAGGCCGTGTCAAATTGCAGTTTCGTTGGGATCCCATTGATTAACACACTGCTAAATCGTGGCCCGGTTTACACTCGCGTTGGAATGCGACAACTATGGATAGAGACTCGGCGCCATCCTTTCTAGAATTCCCCTTTCGATAAGACTTCTGAACTTTCTTCGACCGGACCTGACTGCAGCATTCCTCTTTATGCCTACGCTTATGGCACTTTTGACAAATATGATGTTTGAAGGGACAAAAGCGAGCGAAATGCCATTCGCCGCATGACCAGCATGCTGTGGGCGTCGGCTTCTTGAAGGGCTTGCTTCGGTTGCCGGTCCTGGCCTTTTGCACGAGTTGCACGGTATCTGGTGGTGCGCGACCATTGCGTTTGACCATGGCAGTGTCGTGTTTTAGAGTGAGCAGCCGTTTGCATTCGCTTACGAGGGCCTTCAGTGTCAGATCAGGATCCTGCTCCAGCTTAGCTAAAAGCCGCGTGCGGATCTCAGCATCACTGGGCGATTGTAGAGCGCTGACGAAAATGAGACACTTAAACTGATCGTCCGTTAAAGAGCGTAGTTTGAAACGTTCACACTCACGGTTAATCATGTTTGCTAAGGCCCCAAAGTCGTCAGATTCCTGTTTGACAATTTTCAGGCATTGATAGCGAATACTAAACAAGGATACCGACTCACCAAAAATTTCCTTCAGCTGCAACACTACTTCGTCAAAAGTCAGATCCTTTGGCTGTTTGGGCAAGATGTGGTCTATGAACCTTGAATGTTCATTTATTCCGAGCTTGCGGAGTAGCAGTCTCACCTTCCAAGAGTCGTCTTGACGAATGAAGTCCGTCTGGAACATGTCTTCCCAGCGCTTGAACCACGCTTCGAATGTGCATCCAGAATCCGCATCATAATTGAATTCAGTGATCTCGTTCGTGAGATGATCAACAGAACTCGCCTGCGTGTCCCACGCCACTGCTCCTGTTGTCTGCAAACTCAAACATTGTGTCAGCTTTTCAATCCTTTTTATTTTTGACTCCATTTGAGCTTGCTGTTGAAAAAGCAGCTTTTGAAATTGTTCAGCAGAAAAATTCATCACATTTCCAATTTTCTCCGTCGCCATTTGTTATAATCTCCTCACTAGACGCAGCTCCAAAAATAACAATGCACTGCTTCACAAAACTTCTAGCCCAACCGAAGGAAAAAGCAAAACGCCAATGACCTTGCCAAAATAATATATTAATCGCCGTCAACGAACACTTTACAACGACTGCGGACCTTGGCTCTATTTATAGGTCTCTTACTGACCTTCGACTTCTAGAATTGGAAGGTCAGCTACCAAGGTTAGTGGTTCCCCATATCTCTTGCTGAGGTATCAGGTGGTTTTTAATCACGTACAGAGTAAGAACATTCCCGAACGTTCGAAATCGATGCGATAATCGTTAATAATCGATTAATCGCTAAAATAGTGGATTTCCCAGGCAATTCTTACTATCTCCCGGACAGCCGTCAATATCCGACTCAACCTGTGAACCAAATTCTGCAACCGCAGTATTGGATGACATGCGAGCAAATGACTCAGTACCTGAAGCCGAAGCGCTGCTGCGCAGATCAACCCGCGACTGCTGACCGGTTGAGCGTATCCAAACTGTATACTTGCAACTACAGGGGGAAGAAGTGATGTTCCCTCAGCCAGTGTTCCGTGGCTCCTCTACTGACTGCGAATGTACGCGTGTGTCTCCCTGTGTGCGTGTGTGTGTCCAGCAATACGTGTGTGTTTCGTCCTTCTCATTGGCCAAGTCCCTCCCGGTCTGATCGAACACTGGACTCAGCACTCACGTTACTTGCTTGCTTACTGTTTGCTTCTATACGCTTCCCGTATGCACCGTTGCTTACGATACACTTCCATTGCCCCGTCATTGTTCTTATTCATCTGTGCGCAACAATATGTTTACCACTAAGAGTCTTGTTTGCCATATGTTTAATGGAATAAAAAGTTGACCTGGCATCGGGCGCGACCAACATCTAACTTCTCCCTCCACTTCGGATATGGTCCTCGTGCTCGGAATGACCCGGGTCTGCTTCAAAGTAAGCTGAATTCCCAGTAGAAATTGTGTCGGTAGGTATCCCAATGTCCGATCATGAAAATCGCTGTTTTCGAACCTGGGTGCTGAGATCCGCCTTTCAACCTGGGGTCTACGCTAGTTACCCCTTGCTCAGTTCGGGACCTTACGAAACATGGCGTGCAATCATCACCGATAGCGCGTTTGCCGCTATTCTCCTACCTAATGTGTATGACGCTAAGTTTATCGAACCGCGAGGTTGATTATACTCCGGAGGAGGTGCGGCGCACTATGATACTGTCTTGCCGATGCCGCACTATATTTTTGTATGATATTCAGTCAATGTTAGCACGTAATGTTGGCAGCATTTATGCATTGTGTCCTTTTAGCTCTTAAATTTGACACCTTTTATCTGCTGTATTTTTATTTATTCGCTGATTCTTGATGATCACTTCTTATCGGTTTACCAATTCGAACCATAGACGCAATCTTCTGTGAACATAAAGCCGCAAAGCATTTTTATCAGCACCATACGTACATACACATACATGCATACATATACAAACACCTAGCACCTGTATCTACTGGTTACTTTGTAACCTTGGTGTACAATTGATGTTCATACACCTTTGTATGTCTGTATGTGTGCTTCCCACTTTTGAGAGTAAGGCATTAATTATCCGTTGTGTGTGCGGACGCTCAGATATTGGCAGATCGCCGCCCAGAAGTCCTCAGTGCGTTCGACCAAACATCGCGCGCCTGTCTGTCCGAAATGCTGGCTTATAACGAGTCGGAACGAAAGTCCGCGGCGAAATCCAGGAACCGTGCTCTTGAGCAGCGACAACAACAAGAGGCGGAGATGAACCGTGCGGATGCATCCATCAAGTTCTCCCTACTATCCTCTCACTCCGACCTCGGCGACATTGCTGATCGTTTTGACTTGACACTGAGTCAAGCTCTTGGGGCTGCCGTAAAGGGTTCTGGCGGTGATGCGTACGCGACCTCCAAGCTGAGCAAAGTGAGTCTGCTACATTCCAATTGGATTTCATCTGCCCATTCCTAGTGGGCTTTTTGCTTCTATTAATTCCCACTATTCGTGGCTATTTTTCACTCTGTTGCATATACCCACATTCGATATATTGGTTCCTGCTTGAATTCTCGCTTGTTTGTCCCTTACATCTACCTGGCTCTAGATCAGGTTGTTGAACCTCGATCACCAAGTTCTGAGGATGTATACTCACTGGGGTTTAACTAGTGGTCACCCGAAAGAGAAACAAGGTTGTATCACAGTGACTTTCGGTGTCACGTGAGACCCAGCCTGTTTCCACAACGATATGCTAACCACCACATTTCTATGTTGCCTCCTCCGCTTCCAAGGTGTCCTCAGTGAAGTCATAAGTTCGGAAACTTTTGGGCGAATCGTTCTATAAATTTTGTTGTATTAACGTTTTACTCTTGACACAAGGGCTTCTTCAATCGTTGCATGAAGACAGATTTCATTCGGGTATCTAGTTGTCTAATAACTGTTGTTTAGAAATGTTCTGCTCCCTTTGAGGCCTTCTCCAGAAAAGCTGTAAGAGCTGCCCAGCTGAGTGACCACGCAATTTTAGAAACAATCCGACATTTTGGACTTCTCATCTTAAAGGTAAAATGAATTTGCTTATTCTCTTCCGTTAGGAGCTCCTAAGGAAACGGACAGGGTGACACACTTCCCTGAAATCGGATCCCTAACCTAGAACTTCACAGGTGCTATTTGAGATGGCATCCACGGTCTTGGTCTTGTTTGCATCAAAAGATGCCTAAAATGCTCTCCATCAGCCGTGGCTGTTGGTATTGTTTTGGTTTTCAGTTCTTCCACTGAAAATGGTATTCTTTCGTTTCCTAATCGAAAGCGCTCCGTCGCCATTTGTTATGGTCATCAAGGTCGCTCCAATTGTTCTAATTAGTTGATAGGAAGGCGGTCTTCAAGTGTCACTTTATTCACCGGTATAGACAGACCAATTATGTGGCTTATGCTGTGGTACTTAAATACTGCGGTTGGCCATCATGAACGTTGTTTCTTCTCGTTCGTTCTTTATTCACTGATAATAGTAACAGGTTGTATTCTACCTACGGATTACCGGTCCGATGCTCTACCAACTAAGCTACCGAGGACTGACGATCAGGTGCGCAATTTAATACATGACTTCTGCAATACGTCGCGAACCAAGCAGAAGTCATGTATTAAATTGCGCATCTAATCGTCAGTCCTCGGTAGCTCAGTTGGTAGAGCATCGGACGGGTACTCCGTATGTCCGGGGTTCGATTCCCCGTCGAGGCAGAGTATTGTGCAAAGGTTACTCTTGGCTTCTACAAAATTTATCCTGTATTGCTTTTCCTTGTACTATCTCTTTTCCTCTTTAATCATGCAACATCGCCGGACCCGCGATTCTTCCATCGGTATTTCAACCGTCGTTGACAACAATTACTGGGCTGATATTTACCGATTTTCATCTCCTTGCTGCACATCATCGGCCCAAGCTTTCGAGCAAAGAACGATTTGCTTTCCTCCCATTGCATTTGTCCTTTTGACAGGTTCGTCAATTGACCGGCTTCTCCGATCCAGTTTATGCAGAAGCCTACGTGCATGTGAATCAGTTCGACATTGTTCTCGACGTGTTGATCGTCAATCAAACCAAGGACACACTACAGAACGTCACATTGGAGCTGTCCACCTTGGGTGACTTGCGGCTGGTGGAAAAGCCTTCTCCGTTGACCATAGCTCCACAAGACTTTGCCAATATCAAGGCCAACATTAAGGTATGTCTTATTCTGGAATATCCAATGAAATATTCTCCAAACGATTTCTTAATGCCCTGGTGGTAGCAGTGGGCACTCAGCGGCTCTTTATCTGCCACATCGACCATAGTCAATAAGGGTGAAAATGCTACCACACTCCTTCCCATCTTGTTATTTCTTCTCTTACGCTTTCCCTTCTCCATCGTCCCGTTCCAATTTCGCTTTTATCCCCCACTTTTAACCCCCATTTCTCGGCCTTCCCACTTGTTCTTTTGATGGTCGTTTCTCTTTGGTTTCTACTCACATGCAATCGTAGAGCGTCGCTCCTCCCCCGTCGACAAGCCCATTTCTACGTAAGTTGGCAACTGCAATTCGCCCGCTTCAGACTGAAGTTCTTGATCCTCACTAAAACTGACACCTCAACGTTAGTATTTTCTCCTATGTATATATGTATGTAATCTCAACTGTCTAACAACTAGACATAGAGTCAATAAAAACCATGATGATCAGCGGATAAGAGTCACCACGTCACAATCATCGTGACACAGTATTTGAAGGTGAGCAACACACTTCAGCTACTATGCCGCAGGAAGAAAGGAACATTTTGACAAAAAGTAGAACAAGACATTTTTGTTTGTTTTTCACACGCCGATTTTCCTTTTTTGTCATTTTCAATGTTTGAACTATTAAACATGTAAATGGGTACAATAACGTACACAGTTCTTCTACTGATTGCCGTTGCGGGTCATGTCTTCAACAGTATTAACCCATTGGCACTCCTCTTCTTTGGGTCCCCATCCTGGAAGACGTACGGGTCCAACAGCGGCTAGACACGTCAGCACTTTCATGTGCCGTCGCCAAGTGAAAGGCTGACCACCACGTGGTCGCCTCCAGCCAGGTCCTTGACGAACGAATAGAGCGCAACGCAGTTGACGCTCAGGTGCCATGCTAGGACGTGACCGAGCCATCACAACTGGCGCAGCAAAACTAGTTTGTTGAAGGGAATACTCGCATTCTCCAAGATGCGACGTCTAACTTCATTACTGTTAATTCGATGTTGACACCAAACACGAGCAATCCTCCTTAAGCAACGGTTATCGAAGGCAGAAAGATGATGCATGTCTTCCACTCGAATTGGCCACTACTCGCTCCCATACAAACACACTGAGCGAACAGATGCGCTGTAGACGCAGCTCTTTAGGGAGGATGAGACGTCGCGACGACGCCACAAGTGCCTCAGATAAGCAATTGCTGATCGGGCTTTAGCGATGCGAAAAGAAACTTCTTTGCTGATAGTACCAAGAGGAAGGCACTTTCTCGAGGCAGACTTCCGCTTCGCTTTGTGGATTCAATGGGATTAGCCAGGGTGGACAACTAGGTCTACTGCATGTACTGAAGGATGATGGAGGCCAGTTGAAGTGCTAGTGAAAGTGCTCGGCCTAGCAGTCCATACGCCTCTGTTGGTTGGCGATCAGAGACTCATCCACCTCGCAAATAACTTCACTGACACCAGGTTTCCTGAGGCCAGTGGACCGAATGAGTTGGAAAAGCTTGCGAGTGTTGCCAGAGAGGGCAGCGGTATCCATCTCTAAAGCACGCTCAGATCACCATACATCGCGATCCTTGCGTAGGCGTTGCTTGAGCAGTCAGTTGGCCGAACGGCGCCGCTCGTTACAATCTGATTCCGCCGGGATATCTTTGCGGCGTTCGAACAGCTCCAGAGAACGAGCAGAGATCCAAGCCTTTAAGGGGCGTCGAGCTAGGCTGCAGCTTGACTGTCCGGAAATGGTCATCACTCTCTGTTTACAAGTCCAGTGTTGCCCCACGTCTTACGGTGGACTGCAACTGAGTGCGTATGCTAGTGAAGACTGATAGCTCGCCTGGACAGAGGAATCAGTTAGTCTGTTTACATAATCTTGCGGTGCTTCGTATTTCGGGACCCCCCAAAACACATACAGATTTTCGCGCAGATCAGTGCATGATCTGAGTCAACGAAGGTGGACCAAAAGGACCTGCAGTCCAGTACGCTGCCACGCCATCTGAAGGTGATTGCAATGTGATCAATTTGAGGCCACGGTTGTGTTGACGAAGGGGGACGCCACGTTGCGGAACGCTTCTTCGTACGCCTGAAGTTAGTGCTCTGGAGAAACAGATGGTTGTCTTCGCATAGTGTGAGAAGCCTTTCTCCGTTATCAGAGCGGTTCTCATCGAGCGCGTGATCACCAAAGTGCCGTTCGTATGGTAACAGGCGGCCAACCCGTGCATTAACATCCACAGCACGGACAACGACATCCGACTTTTTAGCGTTAGTCAAGAGCTGATGTAGATCTCGGTAGAATTCGTCCTTGACCAAGCCGCTACTGCAGTCACTTGGAGCCTACATGGAGATCACAAACAAGTTGCGTCTCTCTTCGCGGCGTTTGTTGATTTTACTTGAACCCCGAAGCCGAACTGCACATAGTCGACTGTTAATCGGGAACCAGTCCAGTAGTGCCGCCTCGGCCTTACCACTTAGTGCCATACCTACATCAGCCAAACCTGCTGAGGCTGCTTCTGGATCTCCTGAAAGATGCAGATGATATCTGGCTTCATGGTCAGTGGGGGATATCAATGTAAGCACAGTGCTGGGATCTTGCAATCGGGTTTTTGAAAGGCAGCAGACATCAATGTCTATGGACTCTAGGGTGCGCGTTAGACCGTCTTGCTGTCCAATCTGCATGAGTGTCCGAACGTTGAAGCACGCCAGACGGAACGAGGATCGGGGACGAAGACGAGCCATAGGTTGAACTCCGTGGTTCGCGGCGCAACCTGAATGACAGCCAGGTTGTTGAACACATGAATCCGGTAATATAAAGTAAAGATGGTTAGCAAACAAACAATTGGCGTGTGATGAAGTCGCTTGAAGGTGAACAGCAGAAACGGTAGCTGATGAGCACGTTGTAGTACAGTCCATGGTTTTGTGAGAGGGCGTGATACTACCCGGTTGCCCAAGCCGAAGTAGGAAGTTGACTTAGGGGACCCCACCCCCAGACTTTGGCTAAATAACCTACTCGCAAGACAGCGGAGCGAATTCAGGGAATCGCCCCCATTGGGAGGCGCTGACTGGATGTTCAGTTCACGCGTCTTTCGTTTGGTAGATCACCAAACAGGGGCCCAATGCTACCCATGTAATCAGCACAATTGCTGAACTACAATGCCCCACCGAGGTGGAACACTGTCGCCGAACACTTCGCTGGAACGGGGTGCACCCGAAGCACCCAGTTGGCATCACGAGGAGGTAGTTCGGCAAACCAGCCCGTTTTATCCTAAGTCGGCAAGCATGTGGTAGTTGCCCAATCGTTAGTGAACATCTCAATCGATGTTTGCGGACTGTCGGAAATTCACTTATGCCCATTCTGTGAACCCTTTCATTTGACATTTAAGTCTCTTTCTCATTGCCTCTTTTAGGAGACAACGCAACTTCAAATACCAGTCAAGCCCGGTGTAGATACTCCTTTGAGGCTTCCTGTTGCAATTGTTCTAATTGACTGAATTCTATTAAATAACCGGATGTGCGTCGTCAGATTGGTTGGCGCGTCCGCGTTGGGCTGTACCCACGGACGTTGCGGATTTTTGGATCACTATGTGCTGGATACTACTTTTGCTTCAGATTACTGTGTTATCAGCGCTTTTTCTGTGTGGATTGTACACCGATATTCTTCCTTTGGCGTATTTTCCAGGCGGTGCAAATTTGGTAGCTATTCTCTGGCTAATTCCGGAGGGCTCATTGAGTGGCCCTACTGCCATCTCTCTCCGCCATCTTGAATTTACTCTACCTTGTGATGCCGTCTCAAACTATTTGTGGTTCTTGTTCGAAAGTTGTGGGAAATAAGGCTCATGAACTTCGGTGCTTTGGCTGTGATGTTTTGTTCCATATTTCGTGCATTGGCTTATCGGTTGACGTGTTTCGAAAATCTCTCGACATCCGACAGCGATTTTTCAAGTTATATGTGATAAATGTCGCGCTGCAAGACATCAGAATACACAGAGATCACTAACAACTACAAGAAAATCTCTCTTTCAGACAGAAACAACCCGACGTCAAATGCCCTCGTGAAAGTACCTCTGTCACCTCGCTTTCTCTTGTCACTCCACGATCTGCACCACCACCAGCGTCTTCGACCCCGGCCGAGCCTCAGATTTAATGTCCCCCACCGATGGAAGACTCAAACTCGGCATCTACGAAATGCCGCTTCACTGATCGGTCCGCGAATTTCTCAAAGCCTGTCTGTGAACTTCTGAACACCGAGAATCCATGGACCACTCAAAAGCGCAAGGGGCCACGTAATCGAATTCAGGCGTCCTCTGCTGATAAACAACACCCCAATCAGTTAAGCACGTCTAGTTCTGCTCCCACAGGTTCAGCACCGATTTCACTGAGGCGTCATAATCTCATGGTCTTCCACGTACCAGAGTCAAAAGATGAAAACCCTCAGATATGTTTTCATCACGATGTTGACTTCCTCCAAGGGCTCATCGATAGACTCTTGGATGTGGGTGAATACATGGTGACGATTAAGCAAGTAATCCGACTTGGCCAGAAAACTAACCAATCATGTCGACCGCTGAGAATCGCCTTTGCAAATCCGAATATGCCGCAGCTCATACTGTCTCGTCTCTCAAGGTTGAAAGACATAAAACTTCACATCCGCCGAGACTTGGAACCCAAAGACAGGGATCGTTTAAAGACTACGGTCATTGAGCTCAAACGCCGTACAGAGGAAGGTGAGACTGACTTACAAATTGTAAATTTTCGGGTGATCAAGAAGGGTGTATGAACCCGTATCAACCGTTTGATCAACCTCCAGGCACGTCCCGCAGTATCTCTCAGGACCTCCGTGTGGCATTTTCCAACCTGTGCAGCCTAATGAACAAATGTGACGAACTGTTCCGCTTCGCTGTCACGGAGCGGCCGGACGTTTTAGGACTTGCAGAGACTTGGCTGAACTGCGACATCATACCCCAAGAAGTCGTGTTGTCAGGATACTCTTGTTTCCGATGCGACCGAAAATCAAAGCTCACGGTGGTGCTCTGTTTTGCATAAAATCGTCACTATCTGGCAAGCTTACCAGCACCTATCGGAGCGAGGATAGTTTATGCGAGCAAATGTGATGCACAATCCGCCTCAGACGCGCAGAATTAGTAGTGGGTGTTATCTACCGTAGCCTATTAAACCGTTATTGTGATTGCACAACTCAAAGCTGTGCGCTGTATTACACAGGTTGGAGAGCCTAGATCTTCGGCTTACTCTTGCAAAGTGCACATTTTGTGCTACCAAGTCGAATTCCTTCGGTACATGTTATCATCCAGTGGAATCCGACCATGCGCCGCTAATACTCGGGCTATCACAGAAGCCCCCATACCAAAGAATGCTTCTGAGATTACGCTTTTTTTGGTCTATGCTCGTACAACTTACGCTGTTTGCCCGATTTTGCTACCCTAGCGGAGCTCTTGAGAATGCTGACAAAGAAAAATGCCACCGACTGGGGCTCTGAAGAGCAGTCTGTCTTTGAAGAAATTAGAAGACGTGTCGTCTCTACACCAATGCTGGCCATTTTCGATGAAAATTGCCCTACGTCCTCGACAGATGCGTCAGACATCGGGCTAAAGTAAGGCAGACACGTAAAGGGCAGCCAGCATTATCGCGCCCCATCAGAATTACTCGGACATTAGTGTCAGGAACGTACGAGCTTGCAGACGGCCACCGATTTAATGCCAGACAGTTTTACTCAGTTTTTCAACCGAACGCAGAGTCAAAGTCTAGAAACGGGGTCCAAAGCAGTGGGCCTAGCAGCTCAATTGTCACTCATGCTGATGCACCCATTTACGGCGGAGGTGAGTTGTAGCGCCTGCTGCAAGTTCCAGTCAAGTCTGTCACGCCACGCACCGCACCGTAGCCTGCAAGTGATTGGATGAGCCTCCTCGATGGATCAATATCAAGGTCATTACGCCTTTACCTTACCTGACACACTTGTGAATAGTGTCCAAAGCGTTTCTGGCCCTTGTTCTGCTTTTGTTAGTGGGTTCCGCCCATAGTGAATCAAGACCATGCTTACGCAGGGGCCTAGTGTACGTATTGGGATACACCTTAGTCAACACACATTAACTTGGCATACACCGCCTTCACTGGTCTATGAGTCATCCGTAACAGAGCGCTTTTGCGCTGCCATATTTCCGCATCGCCTTTTCCCGGCTTCCGTTTGCTTAATTGTTGTTACTTTTCCTGTATTATCCCACTGATGGGATGCACTTGAGTGCGGCGAGCTTTAATTGAATGTACTGCTGGAATGGAATTTTGCTCCGCCGATGTCCAACATTATTTTCGTGTCCAGCTTTTTCAAACATTCCATTCCCTACCATTCTAATTGTGTCTATTTATACCCGTATTTTCAAGTTCCACTAACCATCATTCACCTAAGTACTTGTATCGTTTTATGCTTGGTCACGTTCGGTGCGTTACTTTGCTACCAAGGTCGTTAGATCCTTACAGTACTATCGCGATTCTGCTCTGTTTACCGCTCTCAGGTCAGACAACTGGCAACCAGCGAATCTATTTATCATGCGGTTCGATTTTCGTGGATTGAAACTCATCAGTCTGAATGTTTGTCTGATTCAGCGCAATTAGATTTCAAGCCAGATGTATCGGCAATAGGCCAGTCCAAAACGTAGTTACATTTCAATCCATATTTGTTGGATATTGCCTCCATTGTTCAGTGGCATAAGCTGGTGGTGCAAGGAAGTAACGGTTATCGGTTCGGTTCCTTGAAAGGGACCGAGGGAATACGCACCACTGAAGGGCTCCAATAGGGCGAAACGATCGTCTGTTACTTTTCCGTATTGGTAGTTGTCCTTTCTGGCTTGTACTCTAATTGCGTCGAACCAAATATATCTTACAAATCCATCTACTTATATTTAATGGGAATTTTAGTTGTCCTGACACCTGCATACATACACGGATATGCCTAGTCTGCAGTTGTTTCACCTAGATAATTAACCGTACACTGTCCTATGCTCTATACTCTAGTCTCAGCGTGTCATGATAGATTCTACTGTACCCGGTGCCCGCCTGCTCCATACCCATCGACTCCAGCTCCCCGCATCAGATTGACAACCTTCAAAAACTATTGAATGAAACTTTGGGGCGGTAGAAGCACAGTCTTACCTACTTGTCTTGTCTACTTGCAGGATTCCCTCGCGAACCCTACCGTCTGACTGTTAATCGTATGTTTGTGTTGCTTCCCACAACTGGGTTTTGCCTCAGACATCCCAGCGCCTCCTTTGCTTGTTTCGACTCGCCTCTTGCTGCCAGCCTCTGCTGTTGGCGTTGCGATTCCGAGCCTCCTTCATGGAGTGCAACTTAGGTCTTTTTCGTCATTACTTGTCACTTCTCCCTCTCTAGTAGAGTTAGGTGGGTGCGACCTCAAACCGGCGGCTGCATGTCTGTTTTGGATGGCTGCATCCTAGCACTCGAAACCCGTGCGATTCGATAGTGAAGTTATTCTGTTCAGTTCTCACAAGCTTTTTCTTCCTAATAGGCTTGTCTGAAACCTCCACTCACCACTCTTTCGATCTCAGATGGGCTTCCCATGTGAATTGTGTCGCTTTTGCTTTATGACGTTCGTTGGCATTTGTTTTCCTTGCTCTCGGCTCACTTCCATAGCATGTTCCCAGCCACCTTGCTATATTTTTACTCTTCCTTCTTCGCTCTCACTTCACCTACTGTCATAGGTATCATCCACAGAGAACGGAATCATCTTCGGGAACATTTCCTACGACATCCGTGGCTCCGCCGGAGAGACCACATGTATCGTCCTGAACGACATTCACATCGACATCATGGAGTACATTTTGCCCGCCACTTGCTCCCCATCCGAATTCCGTCAAATGTGGTCCGAATTCGAGTGGGAAAACAAAGTAAGCTGTTTGTACTCCACAGGATAGAGCTAATCTCAGTCAGCGAGCCCCAATACATTTGGGCATTCATATATGTTGTCTTTTCACTTTTATTTCATTAGCAGCATTGTATTATTTTGCTGGTGGGTGGTATACTATGCGATTACTTCACCCGAGCGTAACCTTTTATGGGCCGTGTTTCCCTACTGTCTGATGTCTAACCTCTGAACCGAGTCAGTATCATAACCCATATTAACACACCAGTAAACATCTGGTTCAGTTCAGTTTAATTGTTGTGCCACAAGATAACCGGAGCTACGTCATCTATCCGGTTGTTACGATCCACATCGCCGAGTCTGGAATGTCTGCGGGAATTAATAGCGAGGAAAGCACCGAAAGCAGTTAGGTTCGTAGGAACCAGATGAACATCTTCCCGCCAGGTAGAAAGTCAGCACCTAAATACAACGCAGCGTCATCAACCACGTTGGAGTCTCTAACTATCATTCCCGAGATCGGCAAGGCGTTGTACGTTTGATTGATTTCCTTGAGGCATAGGAGGATGTCCCAGGTGGTGCATTACTCGCGCCATCATACGGTAGGCGTCGTATGACAAATATAACTTGTTAGAACCCAAGGGGCAGGCGGTAACTCGTTTATTGCTAAAGTAGCTTACACTAGGTGTGTTCGTCCATACTTTGGAGGCGTCCGCTCATCTGCGTGATTTCCATGGAGTGTTCCCCAACTGGTGTTTGCCTCTGCGTTCACTCCTCGTGCACACGGAACTGTAATCCTGATGTCATCTTCCACTTTGGGGAAGTCGGCAGGGCTCGCTGTTGGTGTGTCATCTTGCCCCACACTACTTATACTCGGCGAAGTAGTATCTACCTTTAATCCACCACACTCCTCCCCCTCCAAAGGATTCGCGTCAGCTGCCTTCCGTCGGAGTCTTTCTGACTGCCGGGGATGTTCCCTGTACGAGCGTGTTTCCTCCTCCAATTCGTACCACTTCCTCAGCTCGCTGGCATTCACCCTCCGCGATTCACCTTGCCGAGCGATTGTATACACTGGGCCTCGCCGGTCGACTACCTCGTACGGTCCTTTCCACTTCTCTAGGAGTTTCCTCTCCCCTGGGCCGCAAGTGGGATAGCGTTGATGGTCCCTGTACTTCACTTTCGAACCAATCTGAAACTCGATATTCCTTCCACCTTTGCTGGTCTGGAACTTCGCCATCATCCGCGCCTGAGTCGCCTGTAGGCTGCGGTTGGCGGTCTTCCGGTTATTCCGTGTCTCCTCGGGAGATATACGGCAAGTTGGCCACATTCCAATCTCTAGGTCCACAGGTAGACGAGGTTGTCGACCGTACATCAACTGGAATGGTGATTTCTTTGTGGACGCCTGTTTGGTTGCTCGATGGGCCAGCAACAGTAGCGGCAGCGCTTCCTCCCAGTCTCCACCTTTTGCTGCTAGCCACTCCTTGATTGTTCTATTGTTACGTTCTGTCAGGCCATTTGTTTGCGGGTGGTATGGGGTGGTGCGCAATTTCTTAATGCCAAGTTTCTCCAAACAGTTCCGGAATTCTTCACTCTCGAAGCACGGCCCTTGGTCTGTTAAGATGGCCTTTGGGATTCCGTGAGCCGCTACCAAGTGATTCATGACAGCATGTAACGGTGCTAGCCCGTTGATCCGGGATTCCTGTCGCCTCAATCCATCGCGTGAAGTGCTCCGTCATCAATAAAATGTACTGGTTACCACGCCTAGTCAAAGGAAACGGCCCCATCACGTCGACCGACCAAAGTTCACCAATTTCCGAGACCGGGATCATCATCGTTTGCTGCTGCATTCCTCGGCAATCCGTTTTCATGAGCTGACATTGTCTGCACGAAAGTACGCACCTCTCAACGTCCATTTTCATCCCCGGCCAATACGCGCTTTGTTTCAGCAGATCGTAGGTCCTGGAACAACCTGTGTGCGCCATCTCGTGACAAGAAACTACCAGATTCCGTCTTCATTTCATTGGAATGACTGGCACCGAAGGGTTGCTACCTCCTGGTATCCACATTAAGATCCTTGCTTCGTTCACTTGCAGCTTTCCCAGGTCTTTTGCAAACGGTCCCAGCTGCTTGAGTTGGTTTTTGTTGAAGTTTGTCTGACCAGCTAATCGCGCGGTGATCAACTTGCGCAGGAGTTTGGCGCTACGTTGCTCAGTTGCCAACCGTTCTGGATCCTGCTCGCACAGTATACCGTTAATACCGAAAGCTACGCTCGGCAGGTCATCATCATCTATCATGCGTGACAAGAAATCCGCCGTCTGATTTTCCCTCCCCGGCACGTGTTTTATCGTGAAATCATACTCTTGTAGGCGCAATGCCCATCTCGCCAGCTTTCCTCTGGGGTCTTTGGAAGACTTAATCCACTCCAACGGTCTGTGGTCTGTTTCGACGTGAAATCGCTGACCCAGGAGATATGGCCGCTATTTATCTAACGCTCAGACAATTGCGAGACATTCTTTCTCTATGGTTGAGTATCTGCGTTCCGCAGGCGTCAAAGTTCGGCAGGCATGCTCAATCGTCCCATGGTTTTGTTTCAACACCGCACCGATCCCGACATCGCTGGCGTCAGTGGCTACCGTGAACACCTCACCAGCAATGGGCAATTTCAGGGTCAACTCCTGCCTTCCGATTTCCTGTAGAATCTGATCAAAGGCTCGTTGAGCTTCTGCATTCCAAGTGAATTTCCTGTCTTGTTTCAACAGCTCGTACAAAGGTGAGGCCAAGGTGTTAAAATCCTTGACGAATTTGCTGTAGTACCCGGCGCGGCCCAGGAATGTACGGAGAGTGCGTTTCGAGGTGGGAACTGGGCTGCCTTGTATCGTCATTATCTTCTCAGGTAGCGGTTTCAGTTCGCCTTGTCCCACTTTATGGCCCAGTAAGGTGACACAGGTCTTTCCGATCTGAGACTTTGGTCCATTTATACGAAGTCCCGACTGCTGAATGCGTTCCAGAACTGCCGCGAGATGATGGATATGTTCCGCTTCTGATTGGCTATACACCACGATATCATCCCCGTACACAACCACGTTTTCCAATCCACTCAGCAATCGCAGCATTAGACGTCGGAAGGTAAACGGGGCTCCTGATAATCCAAAGGGCATCCTCTTAAACTGATACTGTTTCTCACCAACGGTAAACGCCGTCTTCTCTCGATCTTCCTGTTTTATTGCCAGTTGCCAGTATCCTGATCTCAAGTCCAGGACCGTGAATATCCTTGACTGCTGCAGCCGATCAAAAATGTCAGCAACTGACGGAACTGGAACGAAGTGAGTCAAGGAAATTTCATTCAGTCTTCGGAAGTCGACACAGAATCGGTACTTCCCATTCGGCTTCTTCACTAAGACCACAGGAGAGTTGTACGGGCTATGTGCCTCCTCAATCACGCCCGCGTCCAGCATTTCCTGCACTTGCCTGTTCACCTCAGCCTCCAGGTGGATTGGTATCCTTCGAGGTCCATGGGGCCGATACGGTTGGCGAGTTAGCGGGATGGTGTGCTCGATCCAATCGCAAAACCCATATTGGCTGCTGTCATCTGTAAACAAGGGTTGGTATTTGTTGATCAGCGACTGCAAAGATGGGCTCAAATGTAACACAGCAACGACCGACTGCGAAGATCTCATTTCTCCACGATTAATGAGTGGTAGTGACCCGCATTCCATTAGCAACTTCCCACGCTTTAGATCAATGACAGCTTTATTGAGCTCCAGGAAATCTGCTCCCAATATGGTTTGTTTCGCATCTGGTGACACGAGAAAGGAGTGTGTTCGCCTTCGTCCCCCGATTCCCACGGTGTGTTCGGCTATACCATCAATTCCCACTGAATGACCGCCAACCGCTCTTACGATCGTGCAGCACGACTGAAGCTTTTCACCTCGTGCACACAGAACTGTAATCCTGATGTCATCTTCCACTTTGGGGAAGTCGGCAGGGCTCGCTGTTGGTGTGTCATCTTGCCCCACATTACTTATACTCGGCGAAGTAGTATCTACCTTTAATCCACCACAACTTACAGATGGATGAATAATGCCGCTATGTGCTATGATCAATTGAGAGGGGTAGCAGTCAGCCCGTTGAACCAACCCAGCAACTGTTCAGAATAGTTTCACAACAGTTTTTGGTTACGCTAATAACTATCTCTCTGATTATCATACTTCAAGCATAGTTGCCGCATAATGTTTACACTGCTGGAATGGTAGAGATACGAGGTATAGTCAAGTCAAGTCAAAATAAACTTTCTGAACCCTAATGGGTTCATTTTCAGCATTTACACCACCACTGCGGACACCTGGATGATAATATCAATATACATGCTTGGGTAGAAAAGTGGGAAGAAAGCGGAACTGTTACTCCAACAAGCGTTCGCGCAGCATGTTAGTGACTTTCGCTGGGTCAACAAGCAAACGTGAGAGATAAGGCAAAACAGTATTACGATACGATGACGTGCGGGGGAATAAAATTCTGAATTTCGAATGTGTAGAAGAGAAAGAGAGCGTTTTGGAAAGATCATTGTGAAGTGCATGAAATCGATCACTTAGTACTTTAGAAGAGAAATCATTGCAGGCATCAAGATGTCTAGAAGTGATCAAATTAACTAAAGAATCTGTAGACAAACCGCTACATCTAGAAATGTCCTTTATAGATCGCACCAATAAAATGTCTTTCTGAAGCAGTCCAGGGAAAATGACAGGAGAGCAGTATAGCCAATGAGGAATAATACAAAAGGTCATAAACCTGAATATTAAAGTACGATGTACTGAAACCACCTTAAGTCTGAGGGCATAAAAAGAAAGGTCTCTGACATTTTGCAAAGTTTTACAGACGTACGCGGACCAAGAAAATTTCTGGGACAAAAAGACGACGAGATACTTGACGGTGGAAGAGCTGAGTATAGGATTTTCATCCACAGTAAGTGTGGGAGAGCAATCTATGAGGGACTGCAACTTATCGCCACGTAAAAAGAAAATATCACATTACTGCATTTAGAAGCATGAAGCGTAAGAGAGCTGGTTGCAGACCATTCCACCAGATCTTCCAATCACGTTGAGGAATCCTGGTTAGTGGGGGACATACATCCCAGCACATCATCAGCATATTTACACTATATAAACGTGGTTTGTATAGGGAGATGTTCAATATACAAGGAAAATAGAAAAGGTGATAAGATCGCTCCCTGTAGAATACCACAGTCGGCACGGAGGACAGAGGATTTTTTACCGTTCAACTTGGTGAAGTGAGTACGATCTGTAAAATAGTCACGTAACAGATTACACACACCAGGGTGAACTCCAATTTCGGATAGCAGGTTTAGCAACCTTGACCTATCCAGGCTTCCAAAGGCATTCGAATAATCCAGGAAGAGAAGCCGTACGGATTTACATTTTGATCTAATGCAGAGGCTATAGAATGAACAAGATATGCCACTGCATCCAATGTGGAGCGCTGGGGTCTATACGCAAACTGGTAGATATCGTCTTCAGGAGCGGCTGAAAAATCCGCGGAATTAACAGTCTTTCGAAAACTTTTAGGAGCACAGATGTACATGCAATTGGGCGATACTTTTGAGATCCAGTTTTTGGTACTGGAGTGATACTGGCCGTTCTCCAAATGTCCGGGATCACACCCGTAGTGAGGCATTTGTTAAAGAGGTCTGTTAGAGGCAGTGTGAGAGAATTAGCACACTCCTTCAAAGCTAATGGTGAGAGAGCATCCGGACCACAAGCTTTGGTTGCCTTTAATCTTTTGAGTTCCTTGTGGACGTTGCTTTGATCGAAGGGCGCGGCTGGACTTGAGCTAATGAAGGAGGGCAAGGAAGATGAGCTTAGTGAGGCGGAACTAAACTCCGAATTCAGTTTATCCACATCCACTTCACCTCTCCGGCTGCAAACGCTCTTACCACAGAGCTGCCTCAGAAGCCCCCATAAATCTCGACAGATGGTTGCCTAGAACTGCTTCGATATATACTTGGTTTAGTCTTTTATCTCGGATTTAATTGCCTTGATTAGGCTTTTGACACAGGTAGCATTCTTGCACTTGTAGGCCCATTCTTTCATCCTTCGAAGTCGCTTTAGTAGTGATGAGGCAAATCTATCTCCTCTTAGGTAGATCGTTTCAACAGGGCAACCCATGTCAAAGCAATATTTGATGTAGTCCGTAAGATGGTCACATTCGAGCGACAGGTCTTCGTCGTTAAAGACCGAAAAATCAGTTAAAGACAACATCGTCTGGAGCCTCGTGATATTTTCCAAGGTCTGGTCAGCGTTAAAAAATTAGACCTGCTGTAGATGACTGGACACAGTTTTAAAATACAATTGTCTGAGCTGCTCAAAGGAGCTCGTTTTTGTATGGCAAATAACTGTCATTTATTTGTGAACACAGCGTCCAACTGGGCATCTTGTCTAGTCGAAACAGTCACTAAGTCTCCCAAGCCAAGTGTCTTCAAGAATGTTGTATCCTTTCCATTGAAGTCGCCAGCAACAATACAGATAGAACAATCTAATTTAAGCAGTAGCGTTGAAGAAAGTTGGTCTTCAAAAAGCTTTAACTCGGATGCGGATGTGTCAGGCGCAGTGTATGCTTTTCCAACTATGACTGATCGAAACCGACTTAGGAACTTCGGTTTGCACTCAACTAAATGGCAGCTTATAGAAATCGTTGAGTACGTGAATATTCTGAGTGCTGCGTTGCACCAACGTTGATTAAGGTAATTTATAACGCCACCACCACGAAACTGGGACTTCCCGGGGCGTTCAGACCTGATGGGAAAAAAACCATCGAGTTGAATTATCCCAGTTTCCACATCAGCATGCAACCAGCTTTCTTGTAACAGAATAATTCCTGTATTAGCATACTCATTTCGCTGCATAATGGCACTGAGTTCACTGATTTTTACCAAGGAGCGAGCGAACATTACTGGAAAGTATCAGTGAGACTTGCGCTTTGTCCACAGAACAACGACTGAGGCCAGATTGCCATCCAGCACGATGCTTGCGCTTTTTTCCAAGACATTTATTGATGATGCGTTCGCAAGTGCTCCTGACTTTACGGCCGTATTCGATAAGGCACGGATTTAAGGCAGTAACACGTACCGTTTTCAAATGCTTGACGGAGTAGGACAACATTGACCTTGAGACCTGATCAGAAAAAACAAATTGCTTCAAAGTTAAAAATAAAATATAGAATCCGCAGTCGGTAGTATAAAATACTCCAACGAGAACAGCAACGGCCGAGTTTGAAGACTCCGCCACGATATCAGCAGTACATCCGTACATTCCGCTGCCGCACAACCATCAGCAGTCGCGCAAGGGCTTAGGATACTGTGAGAGTCGCCCGGTCACCTCGAGCCCGCGCCCTCGGAATACAATGCAGGATTGTGATCCTTTAGGCCACGGGCCGACCTAGTATCGAGTCATTCCAATGCTGGAATGACTCGGTCAACAAAAAAGCTTTCCGGTTCTACTGCATTAACACCTCTCCCGCTTTCTTTCTTTTGTTGTTTTCGTGTCTGAGAAATTTCCTTCAGTTGTTCCAAAACACGTCAACCCATCTTGACCGTTGCGCTGTCTAAGCATGATGAGACGTGCTCACTGATACTGTGCAAACTGTCTACCCCCCGTGGTTCCAACTGTCATCATCAAGCTCTTCTGCACTTCCTCCTTTTTTCTAGGTCACTGTGAACACACCAATCAATGACTTGTTCGCCTATTTGTCCCACATTGCCGCGCACACCAATCTGCGCTGTCTTACTCCAATGGAAGCATTGTTAGGCGAGTGTGATTATTTGTGCGTCACGATGTACGCGCGCACCGTCTTCGGTGAACATGTACTGGCCAATCTGTGTTTGGAGAAGACGGAACCAGACCAACCAGTCACCGGTCACGTCCGCATCCGAGCGAAGACGCAGGGCATGGCTGTCACCATGGGCGAGAAGGTGAATCTATTCTCTCTTACTTGTGGTCTGGCTTTCTCATTTTGTTGCACCTGTTGGGCGTGTTTTGTCCCCATAACTTTTGTATTCTTCCTTGTGGGAACGAGTTAGATGTAGATCCTACTAACTAGGCCAGATTGTACGATGTGTTTATGGTTGCATGCGTTGTTTACGAGGTCCCTCCTAAGCGAAACCATCGATCTAGCATGTGAACTAACATGATAATTCTCTTACCCATCAATCTAACCGGTTATTCAGTTAAGTTTGGTTCCGCCTAGCCATCTTTCTAGGTATTAACCGCATCAGGGACCGTATCTCCCCTATGCTACTGGGCAGTCAACGGCTTACACACGCTGTCTCTCCACTTCATAGTTTATGTCAAAAGATTGATTTTCCACTCAAATCGAGTAGTTTCCTTCATTACCTTTCATTGTAGTTCACTTTTATTTCCGTTTCCACATGGTCTTTATCGGCTATATTCACCATGATTTTGGTACGTCGATCGTTTTTGATTATCTGAATTTAACTCGGTTTCAACTATACACCACCTCTACAAATCTGTGAAATAGTTAGTTTCTTCTTCAGATTCTCAGCACTAATTAATAAAATGTTTTTCCCACATTCCGAGGAGTAGAGTAGATCCTTGATCCCACTTCATGTTGCTACCTGACCTCTAACTGAGCTTACCTATTCTGACTAACCGTCGAATTACTGTAACCCACGAGGCCACTGGACTGATGATGTAAACTTTCCTCCTCAAAGTAGCGGCGTGTGCTGTGGATTACCATGGGCTTTGTTATCGTAATTGTCCAATCTCACTGCTTGCCGGCATGCTTTTAATGTACTCGATGCCAACATCTCCTGTTTTAAGCAAATACGAATACACTACTTTGCCGTTTGTCAGTAGTTTACATTAGTGAAGTATTATCTCGCTTGCCCATGCTGAGGCTGTTGTTGCATTCATAATGCTTCTTCACCGCAGTTGGGCTAAACAATTTACACAACCTAGGTCTTTTAAGCTGAATAAATTTCATTCCACTTTATTTGGTTTGTTCTGCCTACCTGAATAATCTTTCACTAACTGGCAACCTTGCGCTTATCTTCGGTAACTGTTGCGTTTGTAGCATTTTAAAGTAACTCGTGGACATTTTTCCCTTATCGCGGATTCGTTGCTAACCGACTTATTTCATATGCTAATTTAGGGAAAATTTACGTCGGTATAGCCATCTGCTTTAACAGATATATTTTATTTGGTAATGTTATTTCAGGTGATTGGCTGTTGCTTGATATCCCCGGTGTGGCTGCGCTTGATATGCATGTTGACAAGGTGTCTACCTGTCTATTACCCACTACCTCGTTCATACTGGCTCCAGGAGACAGTTGGTCGTTGCTGGAGGGGACAGGGTGCACCGTCCTCTTGGTCGCGCTAGGCACAAAGAGCGGTTCCATGCACTCAGTGTGGAGCGGACTAGGGTCCAGCCACCGTCTTGTGTGCGCTTGATTCCCCAAATAAAGCGTGCTTGTGTTTGCCTGTGAAGGAGTGTGGGCCGGCTCCGTTGATGAAACGTGGTTCCCATCCGCATGCCTCCTGGTCTTATTCCTTCGGGTTTACACTGGATATGGGGTGTGTGGTTGGAGCTGTGGGTGATGCAGCACAAACCATCCATGGTCCCTCTGTAGGCGCAGGCGTCCTGTGGCCGGCCACAGTGACAGGCAAATCCGAACCCGGATGATGCCAACCATTGTGGCTCGCATTTTGCACAAGTGAAATCAGTTTCTGTTTTTCACCGCCGATATATATATATATATATATTATACACAATCTGTGGTACAGATATTGTGCCATCGGAATCATGGCTGAATAGGAAAACAATATGAATAATAAGAAAAGAGCAACAAGAAATGCTTTTTTTGTCAAGCTTACCACTCACAGTTTTTAAAAATTTTTTCAGTTTGTTCGTTTTTAGGGGGAGGAGGAAGGGACTCCGCAACACACTGATGCACACGTCCGCCATTGACATCGATCTAGAGCCATAACTTCCAAGGTTTTCAACCAGCAAGTATCCTCGTCTCTCGGACCCCAACCAGGTAGTCGACAACAACCGGCCGAGGCCAATTGTTTCGTCAACTTTTTCATGCGGCTTCTCCATGTTGTAGGCTGTCCACCAGACCGTCTCTTCCAGCCCTGTCCAGCAAGTGCAAACAACGCACGACGGGGGTAACGCTGGACAGGCATGCGCAATACGTGTCCCAACCACCGCAGTTGATGCAGTGAGATGAGCTCCTCGAGCGAGTGGCTTCCACGTCCCAAGACACGCTGTCTAACTTCCACATTGCTTACGTGGTGCTGCCACCACACACGGGCAATGGACCGCAGACAGCGGTGCTCGAAGACGGATAGCCTGCGCAAGTCATCTTTACGAATGGGCCAGGTCTCGCATCCGTACAACAGTACAGCACGAACAGTTGCACAATAGACCCCGCCCTTTGATGGAGAGACGAATGTCGTGGCGACGCCACAAATGCCTCAGCCTAGAAAAAGCGAGGCGTGCTTTCGAGATGCGCATCGAAATCTCGTCTCCAACAGCCCCGCCAGCAGTGATGCAACTTCCCAAGTAGACAAAGCTCTCCACAACCTCTAGAGTCTCACCAGCAAGCGTGAGTGCAGGCAGAGGCACTTGCCAGTCTTGAAGGAGAGCCTTGCAGTTGGATGGCGAAAAGGACATACCATACTTATATGCTTCATTCGCCAAGCGGTTTAGTGTAAGTTGGACGGTGTGTGAATCGTCACTCAGCAAGCCGATATCATCAGCATACTCCAACTCAACAACTCGACTACCTGGGAGGAGCTCAACGCCAGCGTTCAACGAATCGCTCAGAGCGTTCTTCAGGACATCCTCAATGGCAAAGTTGAATAGGAACGGAGAGATAGGGCATCCTTGTCGAACTCCACTGGAGACCACAAAGGTAGGCGAAAGCATGCCATAAGCCCTAACCCTGCCCGAGGTCAGACTGTATAGAGCGCGCAGTATGGAGACGAACTTCTCGGGGACACCGTTCCTCAGAAGGCACTGCCACAGTACTGTACGATCGACAGAATCGAAGGCTGCACGGATATCCAGGAACACAGCAATCGTTGGCCTCTGATACACATGGCGGAGCTCGAGGATCTGGCGAAGTGTGAAGATTTGATCGATGCAGCCGCGACCAGGGCGAAACCCAGCTTGTTCTTCTCGCTGCAACGATTCGCGTTTTGGGGATAGCCTGCGAAGTATGATGGACACCAGCAGTTTGCAAACGACGGGGACTAAGCTTATTCCTCTGTAGTTGGAGCAGATTGTGCGCAGGCCCTTTTTGAAGATGGGTTCATGAGTTTAACACACCTCTTCTAGTAGAAACGAAACATCGACGGACCCATTAACTCTTCATACTCCTCTGGTTCTTACAGGTATCATGCTCCAAGCTACTCACCTTTGGGCTATCTGTTTGCCAGCACATTTTATCATCTAGTCCTTCAATGCCTTTAAGCTGGCGGTCCCATGATGATACAGCTTTCCCTCACTACTATAAATAAATAAACAAATAAATAAATCTTTTATTCTCAACAAGGTGAGGCACGCCTTTACAGGCATGATCATTTTGACATAACGATGCATGATCAAGAATGTGCAAAACCGATATGTTTGCCAAAACAGTTTGTGTTCATGTAGGTGGTATGTATATATGTCATTTTGTGTGTATGTGTACGTAGCTGTGTATTTTGTGCTTGTAGTTGTGCTACTCCAATCTTCAATGTTTGATAGCGTCATCAATATGTGAGTAGGAGCTTGGTGTCCGTGGGTTGGATAGAATTATCCGGATATCCACGGGGCAGTGACTTTATTTTGTGGCGAGTCACGATCGCCACGTCCGAGTGTTGTTAAGCAGACATTTGTGGCTTTTTCTGGGGAGAACGCTTGCCAGGCGAAACCCACCACGTCATGGAACACTGCCGCCGAACTATTTGCTGGAACGGGTTAAACCCGAACCATCCAGCAGACACCACGAGGAGGTTGTTCGGCTTGCCAGCCTTCTTTACCTGTTTATATTTTCTGCTTCACGTCGACCACACTTGGTTACAGGTATATTCTTTGTTTCTGAACCTGCGAACACTTTCCGTTGATGACTTTGCGATTTGTTCTCTTTTAGGTGAGCACTTGTCAGAAAACATGGCACCAAGCAGGCTCCAACACAAAGACCCATCAGTCCGAGGACGATGGGACCCAAAAAAGTCATTTGGACGAGGAATCCGTGGGAATAATGCGCACTCACTCGCCTGCGAGAACACAAGCATCCTCTTGATCGTTTTCCTTCCTCCCACTTCTCCTTTCTGGCGGTTGACAGAACCACTGTTTTACACGCCCTCCCCCAACCTTGGTTTCCTATGATCCTGTGTGTCCCTGTTCTTGCCATGTGATTCACGACGGCTATTTCCCCCTATGCGCTGTCTCTCTGTGCATGTTCTGGTGCGGATGTTTCCGGGTAGTCATATACTCCCTGGTTTCCCCGTTTTTCCACGGTTTTACTGTGTTACTGAATCCTTCTTCATTGGTAATGTTCTTTTCACATGTTCAAATATTGCTTTTTTATAACGGTGTTCACACCAATACTCCGTCACTTCTTTCGCTTGTTCCATCCGATTCCATTTGTTTCGGAATTGAACATGGTTTCATTAGCATGATGGACTAATTACCCTCTCGTGACTTCCTTCTTCGATTTTGTGGGGACCAAGGAGCAAATTTATCACTTACGCTAGCGAATTTTTGTGCTATGGATCTATCTCTAACTCATTTGTGCTTACATCACCAGGATTACTTATGTCTAACCAAACACTTTAAGCCAGCATTAGCAACCGGTTGCTTTTTCCAGTCTTCTTTGCTATGAGACTGATGACTTCAGCCACCACACATCCGGAGGAGCAATGGACTACAGTTTTGTCCCTTGGGTTCTCGATTTTCGCCAGTCGGTTGATAAGGCCACCCGGCCACGGGAGACAGAAGACACCGACATGGTTTCACTCTCCATTCACTGACTTGTAAGTAACTTACCGTGCTAATATATGAATAGTTGCTCCTCTCGAACGACGACCTCTCAAATTCAGATTGCTCGTTGAACAACGGTACCGTAGGTGGTTTGGACAGAGCATTGGCTGTAAGCATGTGTGATTTTCTATGGGGAAAAATCAAGTCAACTGATAGGATGGTGCGGGTTTTTCGAGCACAAATCAACGAAGCACGGGAATCGTGACCAGTCAATCATCTGGCTGGAAGACCAGAATAAGCTAAGGCCAATATCAAAACCAGCGAATGCTCAATAGTCAGGTTGAAACAGACGACCGGAAAGGCACCGATCAACAGACTAGTGTTGATTCATCGTGGTTCAGTTCTCGTGTTTGCTCTCTGATATACCCCAGCTTTCCGCGTACTCGCATTGTTTGTTCTCCCTTGCTTGTGGCTAGTCTACTCTGACAGTTCGACATAGCATATTTGACAACGAAACCAGACACTTCATCAACTCGCGAATGCGCTTCGTGCCCCAGTGATATCGATTGTCTAGGCACAGCTTTTTCAACGTGGACGATTATCGTTCACCTCGAATATACTACTGTTGAATATAATTACTGGTTCATCGGCGCTGATGAGACGATACAAAATACATGCATCTGCCGGACTACGCCTTCTCATAGTGCTTTTCAAATTAGAAAGGAACTAACTATTTTAAACAAATATACCATTTAACAAGA